CTAGACAAGATGGCCACGTTTTCTTTACTAGACTGGATGGCCACGCTCTACTAGACTGGATGGCAGCGTTTTGTTTACTAAACTGGATGGCCACGTTCTACTAGACTGGATGGCCACGTTTTGTTTGTCAGGTTAGATTGTCACATTTTGTTTACCAATGTGGATGGCCACGTTTTTTTTACTAGACAGGATGGCCACGTTTTGTTTACTAGACAAGATGGCCACGTTTTGTTTACTAGACAAGATGGCCACGTTTTGTTTACTAGACTGGATGGCCACGTTTTGTTTACTAGACAAGATGGCCACGTTTTCTTTACTAGACTGGATGGCCACGCTCTACTAGACTGGATGGCCGCGTTTTGTTTACTAGACTGGATGGCCACGTTCTACTAGACTAGATGGCCACGTTTTGTTTGCCAGGTTAGATTGTCACATTTTGTTTACCAATGTGGATGGCCACGTTTTGTTTACTAGACTGGATGGCCACGTTTTGTTTACTAGACAAGATGGCCACGTTTTCTTTACTAGACTGGATGGCCACGCTCTACTAGACTGGATGGCAGCGTTTTGTTTACTAAACTGGATGGCCACGTTCTACTAGACTGGATGGCCACGTTTTGTTTGTCAGGTTAGATTGTCACATTTTGTTTACCAATGTGGATGGCCACGTTTTTTTTACTAGACAGGATGGCCACGTTTTGTTTACTAGACAAGATGGCCACGTTTTGTTTACTAGACTGGATGGCCACGTTTTGTTTACTAGACAAGATGGCCACGTTTTGTTTACTAGACTGGATGGCCACGTTTTGTTTACTAGACTGGATGGCCACGTTTTGTTTACTAGACAAGATGGCCACGTTTTGTTTACTAGACAAGATGGCCACGTTTTGTTTACTAGACTGGATGGCCACGTTTTGTTTACTAGACTGGATGGCCGCGTTTTGTTTACTAGACTGGATGGCCACGTTTTGTTTACTAGACTGGATGGCCACATTTTGTTTACCAATGTAAATTACCTAGAAGGTCATTTGTTGGGTGATTTGTTTAAATTCCAAAATGACCTACTTTTGCTGTTGTTTTTTACCTATTCCAATGTTGACTTTTCCAGACTTTTGATGGGCATGTATTCAAGTGTGGCATTAGCCAGTGAATAATTCATTGAAAGAAACAATGAAGGCAGTGTTAGCACAGTAGTCAGACGAGACATACCAGAGAGACAACAACACAATGGTACGAGACAGAGACAAGACAGATGGGCCATCAGGCCATTGGACAAGACAGAGACAAGAAAAATGGGCCATCAGGCCATGGGACAAGACAGAGACAACAAGACAAATGGGCCATCAGCTATGGGACGAGACAGAAACAACATAACAGATGGGCCATCGGGCCATTGGACAAGACAGAGACAAGAAAAATGGGCCATCAGGCCATGGGACAAAACAGAGACAAGACAAATGGGCCATCAGGCTATGGGACAAAACAGACAAGAAAAATGGGCCATCGGGCCATTGAACAAGACAGACAACAAGACAAATGGGCCATCAGGCCATAAAAGCAATCAAGTCTGTAGTGAGCAAAAAGCCAAGTTTAATTCTATTATAGAAAAATGTTACAGGAGTGGTCTTCGGATTTCACACAGTCCGTGACGTCATCTACCCGACAGGCTGGCCTGGATTCGAACCGGTGCCTCTCCGCGTTGGAGAGTCCAGCTCTCGCCCTCGACCAGCCCGTGCAGGGATGACTAGAGCTAGGTAAACATGCATAAATGATGTGAGTAGATAGTCGCGGCAAGCCTGGCGACTGCACTACCGGAAGTCGTCTGGGTCGTTGCCACTAGCAACCGGTGGCCGGAAATGGTGTCTGACAAGACCGGCTTGCCGCGATTTTAAAAAATAATTTGTTTTTAAGAAATGCATAATGAAATAATAACAGTGACATGTGCTGAGAGAGTCAAGACATTCTCTTCATTATTGCAAGGGTTGGAAAAGACAAGTTCTAAAAATAGACGCAAGCCGGAGAGGGTTGCAGAGAGGAGAGTAAATAGGTACAACTACTCACATAACACACACATCTCCCACACACAGCCCCACCACACCCACACATCGTGCCTACTGCTCTAGTAATGCATACAAGCAGCGGTCACGTGTCCGTCGTATATGTCAACAAATGCCACGCCTACACCATACAACCCAGCCATCAGAAGCCACGCCTACACCATACAACCCAGCACTCAGATCCAGAAAATTTCATCAAATATGGTCAGCAACAGGCCATCAAAAACTTGCAATCAAATATAATTTCATGTACACAATAACGTGTACAAACCAGATGTGTCCGTACAAACGTGTACACGGACGAACGTGTACATACCACAGTACTTGGTGAGCCAAGATACACGCGCTAAAAGACGCCATGTATCTGCAGATAAAAGTGATCAATTAAACACAATCATACAATCCAGGTACCCGCAAATAAAAGTGATCAATTTAATTAAAACATTCATTCCAGGTACCCGCAAATAAAAGTAATCAATTAAAATCATCAAATCCAGGTACCCGCAAATAAAAGTGATCAATTAAACAAAAACATTCGAGCGTGAAATATGAAAATGAAAAATCACAAAAAAAATTGCTTATTAGATGGTCGGGACTGTCGCTTGCAACAACACGTCTCCATGGCAACATAGCTAAACGTCTCCATGGCAACCGATAGTTTAACTATGATGAAGTTGGTCAGGAATGCTTAGTTTGACTGTCAGCCAATTTTTTAAAAATGTGTTTAAAAAAGCCAAAATTGGCCGACACATCTTATGGGAATTCACTGGTCAAACGGGAATTCCTACAGAAACCTAGGAATTCCCGATTAGGAATGGGAAAAACTATTTTGGAATTTAAACAAATCACCCAACAAATATTTCAAGCATTAATTTAAAAAAAAAAAACTTAAAAGAAAAAATATCAATGGAAGGTATGGAATGCAGAAACTAGACTCGCCTGTACCACGTACAATAGGGCTTCGGTTAAAAGGAACTCCGTTTATAAGCAATGAAAAAACAAACCCGTGAATAGGAAATGTTGAATAAAATATTTGAACCAATCGGAAAACATGGACTAGATTTGTACTCGCGTACACGAGTCATATTTACACATGTGCCATTCAGGCGAGGGGAACACTGTGTACAGGGGCGTGTACAGCAGTGTGTACATAAATAATGTGTACAAAATACCCAGACATTCAGATCAGACATCAAGATTCAGCAAGACAAACATCGTGATGTGGCTACATGATGTGAATACATCATTATCAACATCACTGTTGGTTACACAAGTTTAGTATTATGTAAAGGGAAAAAATGTGACTTATTAATATCAGTGTGCAAAAAGTTTAATTATTATGCTGGTTGTTAAATATTTAAATGATTAAAAAATGAAATGTACAAAATGTTGACACTTATACTAGCCAACATGCAGAAATCTGCATTAAAAAAATCCACTTGTATTTTCACTAGTACTTGTTTCAACTTTCAAAAGGCCAACATCCAGTTTTATGCAAAGTTAAAACCACTTTGATTTGGTCGTTGCAAGTGACAAAATCTGGCCAGTTTACTATTTACATTGCTAATAAACCATTTAAAAATCTCAGCATGAAAAAATATGTACACGAAAACATGAAAAGTCACAAGAAAGGGTCTAAAATATTTGGAATACAGTTTGGTTTCTTGGATTGAGAATATTTTTTAAAACACGAAATTCTGTTAAAGCTATACTTAGATAAAGGGTATATTCATATTGCACATTCTCCGCAAGTAATATGCTAAAAGGGATCCATGACTGAACACACATGTAACAACGCATGCATATATATGGGACTTTGTACATTTTGTTCTGGCCACCAATAATAAAGACACGACAGAGTTGCCATGTTGAATGATATATCAAATGGTTTTAAATATCATTTATAAAGACGTTACATATATTTTACAAGAGGTTAAAAAACATGTAAATGGAGCTAATAACCCGATTTCCTTGCCTATAGGCCAGTGGTAAAAATAGATGGGTGGTCCGTACGCCAATACGACAGCACGGAGCCATACAAATACATTGACTAGAACGCGAATGACTAAAAATAACTCGATGACCCGCTTTCTGCACATGGAGTTTAGGATTACACTGGTTAAGGTTGCTCTGGTTTTCTTTTTAAACGTGCGCTAGCTTATATATTAGATGTGTGATCGTTTATATATTCGGTGTGTGATCGTTTATATACTCGGTGTGTGATCGTATATATATTACATGTGTGATCGTTTATATATCCAGAGTTTGGTAGTTTAGATTTTATATCAGGTAATTTTAGATGTGTGCTAATTCTCCAGCGTGTGATAATTTAGATATTCGGTTGTTTAGATTTAAGAAGAGTGCTAGTTTTGATTAGTTGGAGGAAAGGGGGGGGGGGTGCACATTAATTTTAAGGCAATATAGAATTTGTTAAAATACACAAAAACAGAATAAGGTCAACAATACTATTACCCCTAGAGCCAATAGGAAAATCTGCATAACACAATCACGTGGTACATCTGTATCGACATGCTGGTTTTAACGTCTGCTCTGCTGCCAGTGTGTGACTAGATGAGGGGAATTCCCGCCATTTTTGGTGAGATATAAATAATTATTCTAAGGGTGGGGGTAGGAGGGGTGGCTAGATATCCCAGAGGTTCTAATTATAAAAAGACCAATGATACTAAAGGTATACCACCAATATACTGCAGGTATACCGATGTATACTGCAGGTATACCACTGTATACTGCAGGTATACCGATATATACTGCAGGTATACCACTTTATACTGCAGGTATACCACCAATACACTGCAGGTATACCACCAATACACTGCAGGTATACTGAAATATACTGCAGGTATACCGAAATATACTGCAGGTATACCACCAATATACTGCAGGTATACCACCAATATACTGCAGGTATACCACCAATATACTGCAGGTATACCACTTTATACTGCAGGTATACCACCAATATACTGCAGGTATACCACCAGTGCACACATCAACAAAGACAAAACATTTGATGATACAACACAGAGCCATGGGCGCCACACAGGCCCCAAACAACTTCTATCACAGTCGAGCCTTCTCCAGTTGCCATTGACCATTTCCTTCCTGAGGTCATCCCACGTGTCGAATCTTAGAGTTTTTCAGCGTGTGTGTGTTTGTGCTTCCCACACGCGGTCAAGGTCATGACCTTTCACTGGTCGCCCAGCTGTTCCATCCAGTTGGGAGACTTGAAAAAGTCCGGCAACGTCTCGTCCATCCGGGCGATGATTTTGTAGATGGCTTTCTTCCAGGAGGGCTCGGCGTCTTTGTTGGACTGGATGGACTTGAAGAACTCCTTCAGGGCCGCCTGCACCGCCGCCAGGAAGTTGTGGGGAACCTGCAAGGGAATCAGGTCAAGGTTAGGGTCAAGGTCCAACTTTTTTCTTTATCATGCTACTATAATTTTACGTACACAGTGTGTGGGTCAGTAAAAAAATAGAAAGTTGAAATTAAACAAAGTAAACTTAACTATGTCTAGAAGTATCAATTATGTTGTAATGTATTAACCAAACAATGAACCATTAATGCACCACCATAGAGGTTCTCAAAAAGTCTAACCAACCACCAATGAAACACTAATGTACCACCCTAGAGGTTCTCAAAAAGTCTAACCAACCAGCAGTGAACCATTAATGCACCACCCTAGAGGTTCTCAAAAAGTCTAACCAACTACCAATGACCGTCAAATGCGACCAACCACCAACCACACGTTGCCAGATGAAGCAGCCACAAGTTGCCAGATAAGACGACCACCCACTAGTTCAAGACGGGCGCGGCTCGGGGAGCGTCCATCGATCTACCCCGTCTTTCGGCGGCACGCGGCTCGTCTTAGCGCGCTACGGATAAGACGATGGTAGGATCTTGGGATGGCCACGTCACTCTATCGATCACGGGGGGGAAATTCTTGCACACGTCACGGCCCAATCACGCGATGGTTGGCCCAGCAACCGCCATAGAATACAGAGGCTGACCAATCGATTTCATCAGTACAGAATACGCAGATGGTCCGAAACTGACCAATCGGTGACGTCACCAGAGAAATGCCCCGGGTCGTAAGACATGGTCAGTTTAATGATGTCACTTCCTTAAGGACGAGCGAAAGCTACTGACCACATGAACACGGTAAAATAAGTCTGGCTTCAGCCATCACTGACACCTCACACATCTGCTGTCGCACTCAGATTGGCGTCTACCAGAAGCTGCTCCTGTCAGCCAACTTTGGCCAGTCACTGTGCCAGTTAACTGTGGCCAGCCAACTGTGGCCAGCCAACTGTGGCCAGCCAACTTTGGCCAGCTAATTGGTACTCCCATGACTGACCAACACATTATTGCAGCTGCAAAAATTTGACGCGTCAAGTACGTAAGTAGATGTACTTCCGGTTCCAGAGTTAAAAGTAAACAGCTCTTGTCAGCTTAAGTCTAGTGTATGGGACCACAGGGAAGTTCATTACAAAATACGTGGGGAGGGGGGGGGTATTTCTTAATGGCGTTTTGTGTGTGTAGTTTGTGTTTGCGTATTGGGTGGTGTTTATGTGATGTTTTGTTCAATTATCAAGAGTATTTTCATTATAATTATCCAATGGTTAAGATGGCAGCATCGATTTTTAAAAATCAAGTTGTGTCTCATCTTTAAGTTCTCGTTCCTACCCCAGTCCTGGTCTACCTCCCCCACCCCTCGTCTATCTACCCCACCCCTGGCCTTCCTGCCCTAGCCTACCTCCCCCACCCCTTGCCTACCTCCCCCACCCTTTGCCTACCTCCCCCACCCCTGGCCTACCTACCCCCAATCGATGAGCCATCAGCGGGCTACCTTCTCCCTATTATCTCTAACAGGAGTGGACAGGTTTACGGCACGTGTGGACGAGCCCATCTTAATCTAATCATAATTCCACGCAAACCAAAATCGCTCCTTCGCAAAAAAGATGGGCTCTTCTCATAATTGGATAACGGCGATCGTCTGCCCATCGTCTGCCCCGGCCGCTCAAAAGAAGTCCCCGCAGGGTGGCGTCGCGGGACTCGATTTCTGATGAAGACAATTGGGCGTGGCGCCCCCTCTCAGGAAGAAATTAGCGGCCGCTGGGACGGGGACGCGATCGTTTAAGAGAAGATCAACATTCTTCATAGCGTTCAAGGGGGCGCCACTGGGTTCGATAGAAACCACGTGACCGGCTCTTCTCATCAGCTAAGTGAAGACACGCGAGACGAGCTCACCCCCCGAGATGGATTGTTTCTTGGGGTGAGGGTGGGGGGTGGGGGGGGGAGGAAAAAACCAGAAACTTCTAATCTTTATAAATTATTCAATTTAACAGACTCACGCTGTTGATGCTGATACTGCACTGGGGGTGGGGGTGGGGCTGGATTGGGGGGGGGGGGGGGCTGTCCATTAGATATTCTCTTATCAATGTAACGGCGTGTGGGGTGTGAGGGAGATTGAGGCCCGGGTATCGGCTTTCAAGCTACAAAAACAAAATTCAATTCTTTCATTTAGCATCGGCAGAAATTCTGTGCGTGGACCACGCTGAGGGCTGTATAGTGGAGGTTAACATTTTGTTAACAGACGGGTTGATTTGACTTGCTTGAGATGTTAACATTTTGTTAACAGACGGGTTGGTCTGACTTGCTTGAGATGTTAACATTTTGTTAACAGACGGGTTGGTCTGACTTGCTTGAGATGTTAACATTTTGTTAACAGACGGGTTGGTCTGACTTGCTTGAGATGTTAACATTTTGTTAACAGACGGGTTGATTTGAGATGTTAACATTTTGCCCGTTGCTGGTTGTTGTAACTATGGTGGTGATTGTATCTTTGTGTTCGATGGTTGAAATAGTTGAAACTCGGCGGTGGCTGAAATTGGTGGGGGGGGGGGGGGGGGGGGGGGGGGTAACGGCAAGTTTGCTGCTTGTTAGGGGGCGGGGACGGAGTTATTGTTTCCCCGCCGTTGTGATGGCCACACACCACAAATGTGGTAGACGCCACACGCCAATAATGTGGCTGACGTCCACACACCACAAATTGGTTACAGCAAAGTTGAAGTGATTCACAACAAAGCTTCAATTAACTAATTAATTAGTCTGTTTTTTAATTATTATTAATTAAGCAATGGCACCAGGATAGAGAGGGGTGGCGGTGTGGGTGGTTGTAGCCGGAGTGGTGGCGGTGTGGGTGGTTGTAGCCGGACAGTCGTGCTCACCCTCAGCTTGACGGACAGTCGGTACAAGAAAACACGGTCACGCGAGTCACGTGACTCGTGAACAGTAGCTTGGGGTGGACTTTTTAACTGATATAACACGCCCATAGGTGACACGTCTCTTAGTGACACATGTACTAGCTACACTCTATTGGTAATACGTCTATTGGTGACATGTCTAGTGGTGACACGTTACTGGTGACACGTCTAGTGGTGACACATGAACTAGTGACACGTCTAGTGGTGACACATGAACTAGTGAAACGTCTAGTGGTGACACATTACTGGTGACACGTCTAGTGGTGACACAATACTGGTGACACGTCAAGTAGTGACACATGAACTAGTGAAACGTCTAGTGGTGACACATTACTGGTGATACCTCTAGTGGTGACACATTATTGGTGACGCATCTAGTGGTGACTTATATACTAGTGCCACGTCTACAAGTGAGACGTCTAGTGGTGACATATACTAGTGCCACGTCTACGAGTGAGAGGTCTAGTGGTGACTCACCTCGATCTGGTTGTTCCTGTTGTAGTGCAGGTTGAGGTGACGGAAGAGCTCCGAGTCCATGGTGACCACAAGGTCCTCGGCGTGTTTACAGCCCTCGGCCAGCGCCTGACGGGCGAACTTCTCCATCTGGATGTAGAAGAACTCCCTGGGGACATACACATAGGGTTAGACCTTGGTGGGGGACATACACATAGGGTTAGCCTTGGTGTGGGGGGGGGGGGCGCCTGTTAGCAGGAAAGTCTGGTGTGTGAAGAGATGGTAATTTTAATTAACCCTTTATGAGTTGGTGTTCCTAAAAATAAACACGTCAATCATGGTTTGAAAACATCAAGTAACAAAAGTTAAAACAGATGGTCCCAAATGGGTTAAAACAACAGGTCTCAGTGAAATCGATTCACTTCAACAAACGACGGCATGAGACTGATGGCTGAGACGTGTCTTAACGACATGCGACTAGGTGGCGCAAAAGGTTTGATAGACCCGTTCACTGACCATAGCTCAACAGTGGACTGACCCCTCATAACAACATCTGGACTGACATCACGTGACAACCGGATTCTTTTATCCCCAGAAAAACAAGTGTCACGCATCACTGCCCCCCCCCCCACCCATTCGTCTCCCCATAATTTATCCCGTTAACTCCCCGTGTGAGTGATGGCTGCCTTTATCTACACCAAAAGGTATTACCAGCTTGTGACGTGCATTCAAGGAAAAAATGCTAATTACTTTTTATCGTGTCTACTCATCTATTGTCTTGGCTCTAATTTTTGAGAGCACTTCCCCTTGATTTCCCATAATGCCGCGCTTATTCAGCCCGGCCCTAGAGCAGACGTCAGCTGTTGCCTGAAGATCCGCCAGCCCGCCCAGAGCCTGAAGATTAACAACTTAGCCTAGCGTAGCGTGCAGCCATCAAAAGATTAAACACAGAAGCCGCCATCTCCCTCTCTTGTTCTAGCCTCTATGTACAAGTGTCTAGTGCTGTCTGCAGCAAGTGGGGGGGGGGGGGGGGGGGGTGACAACTGTAGCAAGTGGGTGTGGGTGACATCAACTGTAGCAAGTGGGGGGGGGGGTGACATCAACTGCAGCAAGTGGGGGGGGGATGACATCAACTGCATCAAGTGGGGGGGGGGGGTGTTACAAGACATGAATGATACAGCAAACAGATGACATTGAGCGTTAGATCGAGGATGACATCAGACAATGGTGCCATGACATTCGGTGACCTCCTCTCTACAGCGGGGAGGGGGGCAGGGGTATCGCTTGTCTAAACCTGTGTTTTTGTTGTACAATTGAAACACAACTAGGTGTGTCTTCTTTATAGATCTCCCCCATTCAACTACAGGAAACAACAGTCTCATAGAACTAACAACATGACACAACCCCAACTACAGCCCACATCCTCGCACCACAGCCCACAACTCAATACCATCACTACAGCCCACTGAAGCGCCCCCCCCCCCCCCCCCCCCACTGCAGCCGTGATTCCAACTCTGGGAACATGAACTTTGACCTTTCCAATTGTCACCCCTACAGGGGACAGTTTCTTAGAACGATATCGAGGCTCATAGGTCTCTGTCTCGTTTTGAATAACGCCATTATCCTGACATTTGCAACCAATCAGCCGTCGTAATTTAGTCTACGCCCGAGCTCCACACAAATCTCCATATGTGAAGATGTATGGGGGTGGGTGGGGGCGACAATCATACAGTGGCAGTAAGACTAGCCACCCAGTCGTTAACGATCATTACAAGCAAATGGCGAGGGCTGGAAAATGGAGGCCATTAACGACACACGTGTCGTCTGTGAGCGGTGGCCATTTCTGTGACATTTGCAAGACTCAAGAACTTCTTGGCGTGCTGTGCTCTGGCCGCGTTGAGTGGGCTGGCATTATAGCCCACGTGATGCGGGCAGTTTTTACAGACGTGGAGCCGGACATGATAGGTCACAGTCCAGTGGTGGAATGATGGTCCTGACCTGTGGCCCACCAACACATGCGGGCCTCACATAGTGGTCAGACTTGTGGCCCACCAACACATGCGGGCCTCACACAGTGGTCAGACTTGTGGCCGGGCTGTCGAGGGCAGTAAACGTCTAGATAAAACCATCTACTCCCCCCCCCCTCCCACCTCACCCCCATCCATAAATATCACTGGTGTGATTTCTACATATCAGAGGCCGTGTGAGATTTCACATGTCTGGAGTTGGAGAGTATGCAGCTCCAATAATATAACGGCCGTTTATGGTTACTGTATGCCAAATACCCCCCCCCATTCCCCCACTCCACCCCTTCCAGTATAAGGCCCAGACTGGCCACGTATGACATAATTTTCCTCCCGCCGTGCTGCCCCCCCCCCCCTACCTCTCAGCAATTGTCACAAATCTTTCTAATATCTCCCTCTCAACTTTCTGTGTGGCGCAATGTGGAGGGTGTGGTGGGGGTCGCCTGAACTTTCGGGTCCCGTCTAACGGTGGCAATAAACGGCCCCAATCTTTGGACCCTGACTGGGGCCAGCCATCTCCGAAAGGTTACGAGGCTATCACGAGGGTTGAGAGAGACGGCGAGAAATTGGGGATCGAGAAAATTGCTGCACCGCTCCGTGTAAGACAAGCGTCCAGAGAAATTAGAGCGGCCGCACGGGCGCCTGGCATTTGGGATCCTGGGAACTGGCCGGGCCTGGTCTAAACACTGGCTGGGTGGGGCGGGGGGGGGGGGATTAAACGCTTGCCGGGAAATGTGAATTAATCGTCTACTTAAAGCTGTCGTGTTTCTTTACGTGGCCTGCTCGTGGGGTGCGAAAATAAGCTCCGAGTGTGAATGTCGACCTAAGCTCCGAGTGTGAATGTCAATTAAGCTCCAAGTGTGAAGTCTAACTTAAGCTCTAGTTATAAATAGCCATGTGTTAAATAAAAAACTTTCTGGAGGTAAATTTCCTAAAAAAACCTTTGTGATCGACTTGAAATGTTGTGTCCACTGATGTATGGTTGAAATTGACGCTGTCTATATGGACACACAAGATGCCAACTGACCAGTATTCTAACATGTAGAGAATGGACCCTATAAGAACTTTACAACACCCCAAGTACACAAACTTGGTGTCACGCGATGTCTATAAATACACGGCAAACATTGGAGCTGCCTTAAGCCTATAAGACGACGGATAATTTCCTGATTCCAGAGCTGGTCAACAGGTCAGTTAATAATGAGCTGTATCCACCTGTTCACACCTGTACACCCCCAGACACCGCCACACGAGTACAAGTACCGGTGTAATTGTCGCCTATAGCAACGGTAAACATGGAGCAAATCAGCATGGCCGACCCGAGCCCAATCCGCTAATCTCTGCGTCAATTCGTTTACACCCCGAAATATTTGCAGATCGCGGACCCAGCGTGTGGGGTAGCTCGGGGATCTTCGGGACTTTTCGGGAATGTCCGGCTAATCGTCGTGCTACGGTGGGTTGGGAGAACAAGATGGTTGAGACAACCACACGACAGCTGTCAACCACACCAGAGCTTGTGACAACCACACTAGAGCTGTATCATCCACCAAAGAGGACCACTCCCACCACCACCGCCCACCACCACCCCCGCCCACCTTAGGCTGCAGGAATGCTACTATGACCTCGCCACCTATTTAGGCCCCTCGCGGGCCTGTTGTTTTAATTAGCAACGTCCCACTGTTATCATAAACTACAACAAAAGCAGATGGGGTTATCTTGTTTGTCTTGCCCCCTCCTCTCTCCCTCCCACTCCCACAACATCCTCAACTTATTCACTTGAGTAACATCAACACTTGCCAACATAACTCTGTTAATTGGACATAATATCCCCTCCCCCCCTACCATACACACCAAATCAGCCACCAAGACCTGTGACTATATGATTTGTTTCCGTATCTGAATTTTAATTATTTTACATCGTGAACTTTGAACTGGAATCAAGGTCACAATATTCTTAGCACCCTTGGAGCGAGGGTCGGGGGAGGGGATCGCTTGAGCTAATACTGTAATGAAAACGTTGGCCATTTGCTCCACCTTGCTCCTGGTACTACAATGGGCAATCTGTATGTTTGATAGACACGTAGGCTACAACTCGTTGGATACTTGGATACTCGTTGGATACTTGTGTGTCGTGTAATGACTTGTTGGACACTTGACTGTCGTGTAATGACTTGTTGACTTGGCGAATTTGTTCCGTTGAGTCCGCGTCAGTGGGAGCGCGGAGTTGTCCAGAGTCGAACAACTCGCGTCTGTGTGTTGACGTCCGGAGTTAAAGATTGACTCGGGTGAGAGCACCATTAAACAAACAGACGGCCGGCAAGTAGACTTTGGGGGCGGGTACCAGTGCGGACTAGGTAAGGAATTCTAATTCTTGTTGGCACGGGCAGCCCAAGAACGCCACCAATGTAGCGGACAGCCCTCGGCCTGACGGCTCGGCAGGTAAACGCGGCCCGTGTTTGCTCGTACGGCTCGGCTCAAGATGTCCGCCGGAGACGTGCGACAGACGCAGGGCCATATAGAGCTAGACGTACAGAGAGTGTAAGCATACATGGATCAGACGGCAGCTTGGGGCAGACACCCCCCACGGAGATGAGCTGTAGGTTGTGATTAATGGAAGATTGGAACTCGATAGACACGGGCACAAGATGTGGGTCTTGGCGGGTCCACGGGCACACAGGTGGGGTCATACAGGTGGGGGTCAAACAGGTGGGGTGAACCAGTCACTGCAAACTGAGAGATCTTGACACTAATCGCTCGGGGTGGGGGTGGCGGCGGAATTAGGTCGGAAACATCGATGGATTTGGAACTTCGTTATTTCAAATCAGCTTTAGAACATCGTACTTTTCTAGATTTTTTTTAAAGAACTTTATTTAAATTGTGAGTCTAGTGTTAGCTTTATTTTGTTAATGTAGGAAACTTTCCATTTGCAATCACCATTGGGGCCCCATTCCATACACCGGGTTTTCCCCTTGCTCCGATTATAGGTGCAGCGATGTAGGCTAAAATAAACCCAGATTCCCCGGTAGGTAAGCCTTGAGTTGACTTGTGCCAGCCCTACAGTGGTACCATCTAAACAAATGCTAGCCCCGCCCCCAATTTGGGCCACGTGACGGCATATTTGAATCAACACGAACCCAGGACAAATTTAACACAAGATGTGTGATCACACAGCACAACGACAAGATGTGTGATCACACATGACAATGACAAGATGTGTGATCACACATGACAATGACAAGATGTGTGATCACACAGCACAATGCCCAACATAACACAAGATGTGTGATCACACAGAACAATGACAAGATGTGTGATCACACATGACAACGCCAAACTTAACACAAGATGTGTGATCACACAGAACAATGACAAGATGTGTGATCACCCATGACAACGCCAAACTTAACACAAGATGTGTGATCACACAGCACAATGACAAGATGTGTGATCACACAGCACAATGCCCAACATAACACAAGATGTGTGATCACACAGCACAATGACAAGATGTGTGATCACACAGCACAATGCCCAACATAACACAAGATGTGTGATCACACAGCACAATGCTCAACATACCACAAGATGTATGCCTTCAACAACAGGAAGAACATGTTCCTTTTGTCGACTCATACATTAAACATTAGCAATTAACATTAATTAGTCTATGATTATTATCTCCATGCGGTGACGTCAGAATAATTACATAAGAAAACTGATATTGAACGTTGATAAGAAGGTAAATGTAACAAGTGAGACCGGCTAAAACAGTTGTGATTAGCATTCTAATCAACGGGCTGTGGCCCTGACCTTGGCTGACCTGAAGAATGCAGGTTTCATATTGTGTGTTATCCTGTGTTGACATAAGCTACATATTTCTCTTTTGTTACACGCTGACGCTCAGAGTACACAAATAGTTTGTTTACCGCCAGTCACGTGATGCGGTCCCTTACCGGATGCCGCCAGTCAAGAAAAGAGAACTCGTTCATCCCGATATGAGACGGGGGGTGGGGGCGGAGGTTGCACAATTCTACCAACAGGGGGTGTTGCACAATTTATCTATATACAGGGGGTGGGACTACTGTACTGTGGGGGTGGGGGAGTACTGTGCAGACTAGTACTTGCCCACAAGAGCGGATCAGCCTAGCGCACAAGAAGCGATTAAGTCCCCTACACACGTCTGTAATGAGAAGAAATCTGGGAGTCACCTGACCCAGGTTCAACGTAAGAGGATCTGGCCGGCATTAGAGCCGGCAGGCTTATCCTTGCCGGCACGGCATGCTCCAAGATACTGGATGCTCCGTCGTGAGACGTGCGGCTTCAGGACGGGTCGTCGTTAAATGGGACAGGACGGGTCGTCGTTAGATGGGACAGGACGGGTCGGGGACAGGACGGGTCGGGGACAGGACGGGTCGTCGTTAGATGGGACAGGACGGGTCGGGGACAGGACGGGTCGGGGACAGGACGGGTCGTCGTTAAATGGGACAGGACGGGTCGGGGACAGGACGGGTCGGGGACAGGACGGGTCGTCGTTAAATGGGACAGGACGGGTCGGGGACAGGACGGGTCGGGGACAGGACGGGTCGTCGTTAAATGGGACAGGACGGGTCGGGGACAGGACGGGTCGGGGACAGGACGGGTCGTCGTTAGATGGGACAGGACGGGTCGGGGACAGGACGGGTCGGGGACAGGACGGGTCGTCGTTAGATGGGACAGGACGGGTCGGGGACAGGACGGGTCGGGGACAGGACGGGTCGTCGTTAAATGGGACAGGACGGGTCGTCGTTAGATGGGACAGGACGGGTCGTGGACAGGACGGGTCGTCGTTAGATGGGACAGGACGGGTCTGGATTTCAGTCTAGTTACAACTGAATCAAAGTTGTCTAACTTCAGTTTAACACATTCAACTGCTATGGCTTTAGAAGCTATGTCAGGGGATTCCAAACACAATACAACATTTTTAGTGTGCAGATTCCCATTAAGCTCTCGACACAATCCCCACCCCACCCCATCCCTCCCCCACCCCCTACCTTCCCAAGATCTCGACGCGTTATCCAGCTTGTCTTTGCTATATTTTTTTTCTAATTGTTTTTGTTCTTCCCGAGAAAAAAAATGTCTTGTGAACTCATTAGGCTAAGTTCTCCGGCCCACGACAAGTTCCTGTATCAGTATGCCAGATCACGAGTCTTGTGAATGCCAATGCTAAAATCACTTTGACGAAATCCCCACAGACTTTGAGATGGGATTAAAAATTTCTTGATAATGACATCCTTCGAGTGCGCGAGATCATGTGTGACGTCACAGAAAGCAAACGGGGAGAAAATCTGAGAGGCCCGCGGGGAGCGCCCTGGGGCCGGGGCCTAAATTATCATCCCGGCTCCGACGCTGTAACCGCTGCTGCCGGAGACCGGTTCCACTTGTTTGGTCACGTGATACGTCCTGTCCTGCTCTGTCCCGGCCAAGCCAAGGGGGTGGGGACGAGGGGGGGTAGAGGTTGGCATGCCAAGTTTAGAATCTGTGTCAACACGCGCCCCCTGGTGCCAGGCCGGCGACAATGCTACACGACAAAGGGAGTCGCCCTGTCGTCATCTTGTACGGTTCTTGAGCGTTGGCGTGATGGGGAGGGGCGCGGGGGGAGGGGGATGCGCATACCACAACTCTGACTCCCGGGAGACGGGACGGGAAAAATATGAAGAGCTAATAACTCAGGGGCCGTAATGCATTAAAGATATGAAACGCTGAAAGTTTAATGAGTATTAAGTCCAGCTAAATGCCGGTACAGGCTAGGGCTACCACTTGAGGGAGGGTGTGTGGGGGGAGGCAAGCAGTACGTGAGAAACAGGACTGCTAGCATGAAGGTTACACGTGGTGGCAGGGAGGGAGGGGGGGGGGACACTCGGGATCTAGAAGCTGCCAGGGGGGGGGGGACACTCGGGATCTAGAAGCTGCCAGGGGGGGGGGGGGACACTCGGAATCTAGAAGCTGCCAGGGGGGGGGGGACACTCGGAATCTAGAAGCTGCCAGGGAGGACAGGTCCCCTCGGAGCAGAACACATATCTTTGCACAGAGATTCTTTACTGCTGTAGACTGTCCAGAGATTCTTTACTGCTGTTGACTGTCCAGAGATTCTTTACTGCTGTTGACTGTCCAGAGATTCTTTACTGCTGTTGACTGTCCAGAGATTCTTTACTGCTGTTGACTGTCCAGAGATTCTTTACTACTGTTGACTGTCCAGAGATTCTTTACTGCTGTTGACTGTCCAGAGATTCTTTACTGCTGTTGATTCCACGCACTACATCGGCCAGAGATTCTTTACTGCTGTTGATTGGGCTACATCGGCCAGAGATTCTTTACTGCTGTTGATTGGGCTACATCGGCCATCCAGAGATTCTTTACTGCTGTTGATTGGGCTACATCGGCCATCAATCCCCATGTTCCCACTACCCGTGTTCACACACCCACACACCCACACACGAGCAAGTCCAATGTGTGGGTAACGAAGTTAATGTTTGTAACGCGCTGATGAGGTCTAGGTTATATATTGATTATCACAAAGTGAACGCCCCTTCCCTCCCCCCACCCTCCCACAATTAGAAATTAGGCAACAATAAAAGCTCCCCATATACCCCTGGATGACGCATCCCTCACTAGGGGGAGGGGGTGGCATTTGGAAGTGTTTTATGACCATCAGCGCTGTATCTATTGTACGCGATGATTGGGAATCCGATAGACATTGCTCCCGAGGACTGCAGAAAATAGCGCCCCTCTAATTACGACTTATTGTCAGCGGTTGTGTGTTATGTCTTGGTGAACGACTACAAACAGATGGGGAAAATCTAGTGCCACCAATTGAATGGGCTATCTGGTTTGGTTATAAATAAATGAGCGGTCAGCGCGAGGGCTGGGGACGGAGACAAAACACACCTCGAGCGGGACGGGGTGGCTGGATGGACGGGATAATGGCGGGAGTCATATGCCGTCAAATGGCCGGGATCTCTCATGACAGATGATGCATATTTCATGGCATCAGACAAGCTGCTCTCTCGGACGTTCGCGTTAGTAGTGGCCATTGTCATGCCGGAGATATTTATTCCATGTTTGCCAAAGATTATTGGGGGAAATCACACGAGGGCTATCGATCGATCGATTAGCGTGTGGGGTCAGTGGGGGCGGGCTGGTGATGTACATCACTGACATACTTATGGCGGGGTGGGGGTTGGTGGTGGGGGTTGTTCCAGGAGCAGGGGAGGGGAGCGAGATGCTGTCTCACCTCACCCAGGGGATGTAAGGCGAACTTCACTATTGGGGGTGGGGAAGGGAGTCACTAATCCGAAAAAACTAAAATCTCATTGCTCAATAAATTTTCACAGATTGGCAAAAAACACCCAAGTGCTTCTCATGGTGCACCAGCAGAATGACCTTCACCCTTCAACAATAATTTGTGATATAACATATAAGTTCTAAAAACAACTTACCGGAAGTTGGAGAACCACTTGACCAGCTGGGCCGTGTTGTTCTTGTTGAAGCTGACGTCGGGGAAGTAGAGTTTCAAGATGGACGAGCTGGGGTAGCGGGTGTAGAAGAACATCAGCTTGGCCTTGCGCAGGTGCATGGGGGTCAAGGTCGTGGTGTGAGCTGAGTTAAGGTGGCAAACTACTCATACTGGCAATATTCAATTCTTGCATTACATTTTACAAACACAGTTAAGATTACAATAAAAAAAAATCCTGCCGAATTTAGCCGGTTAAATATTGATGAACTACAAGCTGAATGGGAAGATTTATTTCACAAAACAAAACAAAAACTTGAATTATATTTTTGGGTACATCTGTGGAGATAACACGGTGACCTGACCCAACAAGAAATGTCAAGTTCGGGCTACATGCGTGACAAGAATTTTGACAAGAAAATCTGATCCCTTTCTCACCAAAATTAGATTGTATGCAACCCCCGACCCTCAGATTGTGTTTCCCCGACCCCCAGATTGTTTCCCCCACCCCCAGATTGAATGTACTGGGCAATAAGCAAGTTATGCAGGTACCAGCATTGACTGGTAAGAAAGATAACTCGATAGCGCCCATGAGGGTAGGCGCGGCCCAGCTGGTCCATTGTGCGGGATTGTTTCCCCTGTGCTATAATCTGAATAAGATCGTCCGACTGAAGTTTCAATTACTCCCCGTTTCTAGCAGGTCTGTCGTCTTTCATGGAGAAACCAACGACTCGTTAGTGCGAGATGTTGTGTGTGTGTGTGGTGAGTTGTTGTGTGTATGTGTGGTGGGTTGTTGTTGTGTGTGGTCTCGGGGTGCGTTGTGTGTGTGTTTTCTTTTGTTGTGTGTATGCATGTGGAGTGGGTTGTTTGTGTGTGTGGGGGGGGGGGGGGGGCTGAGGACAACACAGGGATCAGGTGACCTTAGGGTGAGTACTTGTGTAGCAGGTGTGGACAGTGGGTCAGACACGGCTCTTCTGCATTAGAATCATCCCAATAGATAAGACAACACCAGGGCTACTAACTGAGGTGTTCTACATCACATAGGCTATATGGGGCTGTCAACACTAGACCACATAACCCTGGTAACTGACCCACCACATTGATGACATATGACATACCAAGTCGCTGATGCCAGCTAACCAAATATAGAACAGACCACAAAGGAGGATGTCATTCACAGATCACATGTTTTTCTTAGATCCCATGTCATCATTCAAAGACCACATGTCATCATTCAAAGACCACATGTCATCATTCAAAGACCACATGTCACACGTCATTCAAACACCACATGTCTGGTGTCACCACAAAGGCGGATGTCACCAACGGACCACACCATCCTGATGTCGCACAGCCACGCGTCAGGCCCCAGTAATGAAACACTCGACTACGATCTAGTGAAACCAATCTATTGGCGTGAAACGCCCGGCCAAGATGAGTACTGTGTCGACACGTGCATCGGGAAAATGATCTCCACTCAATCATGCAAGTTTCAAGATCGAAAACTAAATTGCCAGCTATTAGAGGATTCTCCTCTAATGACACACTCACCTGTTGCCCGGGGGTGGGGAGGGGGGGGGGGGATGAGGGTGATGCGTCAGACGGATGGGGAAAAAATAACTTGTCACCTATCTCAGTCCGACTGTTGCAAGCCATGACTTCTTATCGTACTTATTAGACCCCGCCCCTCCCACTGCTACAGAGTCCAAGCTGTTGTCGCTGGGGTGGGGTGGGGGGGGGGGGGTGAAGCAGGCTAGGTGGGTGAGGGGCTGGTATGGTAGGGCTGTATGTGCTAATGGCAGATCCATCTCAGACACACGATATTGTTTTCACAAAATAAAATGTCTCCGGCTAGCTGATACGTCTACCCGGAACCTTCCAACTCCAGCTAGCTTTAACAACTACACGTACATTGAGAACGGCATTGTTTATGTCGTCACTTCCTCTATTCAAAATGTCATCTAGTCTTAATATTATTCAAGTCTTCTTACTAAACACTGCCCGTCCGCTTCTATTAATATTAATTACATTTTTAAATCATAACCGTACTAACAAAAAAAAAATGCTAATCCGCCCCGCGAAAAACAAAAGTGCCTTTATTCTCGCCTGTTTTTACTGGCGCGACATCTCGGCGGGGACACGTGTTGCGCGCGCACCTTGCGACATTAATAGCAACGCATCTCTTTATGCTAAGAGTCTATAGATAGATCTCCGGATACACGAAAACCCAGAGGGATTTTTTCTCTCTCTCTCAACAAAGCGGTGAGTGGTTTTAAAAGATGGCTGGTCCATCCACGGTCTTTGTATGGGTCGTGTAACGACCTACCAATCTAATCTATCGATAGATGATCCTGATTGATTTCCTATCACGCCTACGTGGATCTATCGGTCGTGGTATCGAACTCTGTGTATCTAATCTCGTGGCTTTAGCGAGCAGCCAACCGTTTCTCTGATCTAATTAAAACTAATTAGTGGTGGAGAGTAGTTTTCTATCTTACGGGATCAAAGGCCACGACGGGGGCTGGAGTAGACAAGAGTTTCGTTGACGGCCGGTCCAACAGGCAGGTGATAACACGAGGGGTGGGGCGCTGGGTGGCGGTCCACGCGTGGTCACCATGGTAAAATCAGCCACCGTGACGTCCACGCTCCAGAGGTTCATTAACATAAATGATAGGTGCGCCAGCTGGTGTTCTTTCATACCCAGACTACAAACGTCACGTTTTATGGACGTTTAACGGTTGAAAAATATTTCCGGGCGTGGTTTGATGTGGGGTGGGGGAAGTAAGGAGAGTTAGTCGGCCGAGGAGTGTGCGGACCGGCAAGTGTGTGTGTGAGGGGGGGGGGGGGGATATAGAAGCGATGTAGCAGCTCATCCAGCTTGTAACCACAACGTTATCCTACCCATTACTTCCATCTAATCGGACGACATTAAACACCGGAAGCGACATTTTCCTAGAGCCGTTAACTCCCCGTGACGTCACACGTAAGCCGCCAGAACAAGGCTCCGGAATTCCCCGTAAAGAACTATAATTTTCCTAAAGACGAGCTCTAAGACCGGCGTGCCGGCTCCTCCTTCCGGCCCGCACACATCCATCAGACGAGGCCGCTAAAAGATTCCCGCCCTATCATTTGGGGCGGCCTGTCAGCGCCTGCTCTGGCAGCCATGCGTCTTGGCGGCCAGCGCGATAATGAGTGTTCAATAATGCAGAGTGATCGCTTTCTCCTCGGGCCGCAAGAAACGGTTATGATGGCCCAGAAAATATTCACACCGTTACAATCTTCCCGGGGGCGGGGTGTGACGGGCTGTGATGGGGACGGATGGGAAGATGGACTCGGGAGACACAAATGGATGAGGGGGTGAGGGGGGGCGTGAAAAGAAAATATTCTGAGAGCCGGTCAGCTGATCAATCAAGACGGTCACGTGACCCGACACCTCGATCTGCGAGCGGATGTTATTAATATCGTATTTCTCGGACAACTAGGAGCCGCTATTAATATCTGCCCGGGGACGGGCCAGAGTATTAGAGCCGAGTGAAACATCAGTTTTGTCTTCACCCCCCCCCCCCATAAGACGATGATCTGACCACCACCCCCCCCCCCCCCCACGTACATATCTGGCGCAGATAGATCATCCTTTCAGACTGGCTTTAATAAAGTTCAAACGACATGAATGGTTGGATTATTAGAGCAGTGGTCAGTTCATCGCTGGTCAGCAGAAGAGTGAGCTAAAACAGTGCTGAATGTGCTCACAGAGTTGATCTAGTAATGGAAACCGAAAGTGGAAACTGGTACGTCATGTACCACACACACACACACACACACAGACACACACACACAGCTCAGGTCAGCTATCTCAGTTATTAGCTGCAACTGCCCACACACTGAGAGTGTTTTGACTAAGACGAGAAATATTGATTAGATATTAATTAATTAGACTAATTATCTCTCCAAAGGTAATGGAGCGCTGATGGAAGGTTTATTTATAAAGATTAGATAGAGACGAACACGTAAGCCGAAGTTGTCGGACCTTCTTTAGATCGGTACAAGATAACTCTGGTGTTACACTGGGAGATAACCCTATCTACGCCGCTATTGTTTTTATAGCACACGGTACAAATCTATACACATTTCAAGGGAGATGATTTATTTATTTTTGAGAAATCTACACAGATTTCAAGGAAGATTTCTTTTTTTTTTCTTTTTTTTTTTTTTTTTTTTGAGAAAGTTATTCAAATTTCAGTGGTTTTATTGTTGAGAAATGTACAAAATTCAGGGCATTTAAAGAGGGTGAAAGACTGTTGTCACAAGTCTATGTTGTCAGTCTGTTGTCATAATTCTATGTTGTCAGTCTGTTGTCACAAGTCTATGTTGTCAGTCTGTTGTCACAAGTCTATGTTGTCAGTCTGTTGTCACAATTTTATGTTGTTAGTCTGTTGTCACAATTCTATGTTGTCAGTCTGTTGTCACAAGTCTATGATGTCAGTCTGTTGTCACAAGTCTATGTTGTCAGTCTGTTGTCACAAGTCTATGTTGTCAGTCTGTTGTCACAAGTCTATGATGTCAGTCTGTTGTCACAAGTCTATGTTGTCAGTCTGTTGTCACAAGTCTATGTTGTCAGTCTGTTGTCACAAGTCTATGTTGTCAGTCTGTTGTCGGGTATGTGGGGTCACTATAGGGGTCAGTACTGGACGAATGAGCAGAGCGCCCCACCATTATGAGTGAAGACGACATAAATCTATAAATAGCCAGTGTCTGATTACGTAATGAAAACAGACAAAAGCTGTCGATTGCTGTTGTACATCGAGAAAACACAGGTGTGTCGTGTGTAGGACGCCGGTATGCAGTTTGCCAAAAAATAAATTTGTTCACTCAGAAATTGTCAAGTCATAGGAAGATAGGAGGTAGATTTTTTTTGGTGTGAAATTGTGAGATATGGGAACAGGACCCACGCAAGAGGTGCTATCACAAGATATATTGTCACAAGATATATTGTCACAAGATATATTGTCACAAAATATATTGTTACAAGATTATCGTCACAAGATATATTGTGACAAGATATATTGTGACAAGATATATTGTGACAAGATATATTGTGACAAAATATGTTGTCACAAGATATATTGTGACAAGATATATTGTCACAAGATATATTGTCACAAGATATATTGTCACAAGATATATTGTCACAAGATATATTGTCACAAAATACATTGTCACAAGATATATTGTCACAAGATATATTGTGACAAGATATATTGTAACAAGATATATTGTCACAAGATATATTGTCACAAGATATATTGTCACAAGATATATTGTCACAAGATATATTGTCACAAGATATATTGTAACAAGATATATTGTCACAAGATATATTGTCACAAGATATATTATCACAAGATATATTGTAACAAAATACATTGTCACAAGATATATTGTGACAAGATATATTGTTACAAGATATATTGTAACAAAATATATTGTTACAAAATATATTGTTACAAAATATATTGTGACGAAAAATATTGTCACAAGATGTGTTGTCACAAGATATATTGTGACAAGATATATTGTAACAAAATATATTGTAGCAAAATATATTGTTACAAGATATCTTGTAACAAGATATATTGTAACAAAATATATTGTTACAAGATATCTTGTAACAAAATATATCATGACAAGATATATTGTCACAACATATATCATCACAAGATAAATTGTAACGAAATATATTGTTAGAAGATATATTATCACAAGATATATTATCACAAGATATATTGTAACAAAATATATTGTTACAGGATACATTCTCACAAAATATATTGTCACAAGATATATTGTCACAGTGTGTAGTATCCGCCTTATTTAGACTCCCCCAACCCCCCGACGTCGAACTGATTGAAAGAAAATTGTTACCGTTCTTGTCTGTCTGATTGCCGGTTTAGACCAAAAGATTTCTTCAAACATTAATTAATTATCTCTACATTTCGATTGCTTTTCGCGAAAAATATCTTTGTAATTTCTGAAACTGGCGACATTTCAAACCTGAGACGACATCAGTCTCGCAGTGAAGAAATCAGTGAGTCTCAGTTGCAGACGACTCGAGCTGATTGGTTGGCGTCCGTTAGGAAACAAACAAAATCTATTTTTAGACAATCACGCGAGGCTGAAACTAAAGCCGAGCAGAAAATTAAAACTGGCCAGAAAAATTGTCTTGATCTTACAAGTGGCCAGAGTGGGGTGTCAACCCGTGGCCAGAGTTCACAAATGTCAGCTGACGCGAGTGTCGTCTGCGGCTACACCGTGCAGCTGCTGGGCGACACGGTCCCTACCCGGCAAGGGGAGGTTAGGCAGATTTTCATTTAAAACCCGATTGTCTTCTCTTGCTCCGGCTCTTGTTTCACTCAGAAAAACAGCAGAGCCGGTAAAAAAAAAAAAGGGGGGGGGGGATGAAATGGTGACGTCATTTCTATCTCGCGACGCCACCGACCAAACGAATGCATCTAATTATAACCCAACAGTTAGATAGAGTGGCGACTAATGAAGCAGACGTCGGACCAACATTTGGAGAGTATCTTGTGCGTTTTTCCCCCGGCTCTCAAGAAAATGGGTTGTATATTAAAGTCGGTAACTGGACCCCAATTAGAAGTAGCCGGGGAGGGGTGCTAAAACAAAGCCCTGGGGCCGGCGGGAGGGTGATCCTAACAGGCAGGTAATGACATCCTGGCGAGTACCTGGCACAAGTGCTGATACCTGACGACGCCAATTAAGTCCGCAGCAAATTTATTAAAAAAACTGAAGCAGACTTGAACACATGACGTCACGGCAAAGAACGCGCTGCCATTGTGCGCGAGCCAGACCCGGACTAACGGTTGGCTGATTTTTATTGTGTCGTCTGCACAAGAGGACGACACCTGGGAACGTGAGGGGCCCTTGTGTGGCAACATCCGACAGTAAGACGCAGGTAAAGCACACCCAGGGGTCATTAAGCCGTGTATTATTAAATTTTAATTAGTTTGATGAGATGAGGTAACCTTTGGAGGTCATGCTTTCATACAGGACGCGCGACACTCGTGTCAGTTACATTCTACTGAGCCCGTCCCTATATTACATTCTACTGAGCCCGTCCCTATATTACATTCTACTGAGCCCGTCCCTATGAGTTACATTCTACTGAGCCCGTCCCTATGAGTTACATTCTACTGAGCCCGTCCCTATGAGTTACATTCTACTGAGCCCGTCCCTATGAGTTACATTCTACTGAGCCTGTCCCAACTTTACATTCTACTGAGCCCGTCCCTATATTACATTCTACTGAGCCCGTCCCTATATTACATTCTACTGAGCCCGTCCCTATGAGTTACATTCTACTGAGCCCGTCCCTATGAGTTACATTCTACTGAGCCCGTCCCTATGAGTTACATTCTACTGAGCCCGTCCCAATGTTACATTCTTCTGAGCCCGTCCCTATATTACATTCTACTGAGCCCGTCCCAATGTTACATTCTACTGAGCCCGTCCCATAAATGAGTTCAACTCTACTGCCACTGTAAAAGGATATCATGTGAGAACCGCCGGGGCTGCTGCCGTCCATCATGTCGCTCATGTTGGACCTGTCGTACATGCTGCTCATGTAGTGGGGCGAGTCACTGGGGGAGCGGGGGGAGCTCCGCGAGTGGTCCTGTGGGCTGGGGATGCGGGAGTCGGCGTAAGAAGCTTCTCGAAGTCTGAGCGCCAGCAGGTCTGAATGGCTGAGGGAGGGGTTGGTGATGGCCACACTCGTGGGGAGGACAGGGGGCAGGAAGTGGGGGAAGGCCGCCGCCAGGTGGCGCTGGGCGTCGTTGTGGTCCATGCTGGAGCTGGGGGTGTTGTCCTGGAGCAGCCCGGGCTTGCCCCGGGGGGAGCTCAAGCGGGTGTCGGTCACCTTGGTGCGTTTTTTCTTGGGGGTGTTGACGATTAGAGGAAGAGCCTCCGTTTGCTCAGGCTCCCCGGTGTAGAGGGGCGGCAAGACCTGGGAGGAGAGGTAGTAGGGGAAGTGTGGGGGGAAGGGCAGGGAGGGCCCAGTGTGTGGGGTGATCAGCTCGCTCTCCCCCTTGTGGTGGGGCTCGAAGGCGCTCAGCTTGTCCTGTTGTAGCCGGTTGCCGAACCTCTCCAGGAAGTGGAGATGTTCGCTAAAAGGCACGATCAGTTCCGGCTTTTTGTCGGAGTTGTTGCCGGATTCTTTCAGGCTTTCTCGTTCCGGTAACGGATTAACTGGTAGAGGCTGGTGTGGCTGGTGGTGATGCTGCTGGTGTTGTTGTTGTTGCTGATGATGGTGGATCTGTTGTTGGTGTTGGTGCATAAAATGTGGAAGAGCCGAGGGCGGGCGCTGGTGTTTTGGCTGAGGTGGGTTCCGGTCCGGGTGCTGGGGGAGGTCGGTGTGGGACGGGGTCTCGCTCTGTTGCTGCAGCTGTTTGTCGGTCAGTACCTTGGTCACGGCGCTCTCGATGGCCTTGTTGACCGCCTGGGTCAGCTCGGCCTTCAGGGCGTTGGCTATTTTAGTAAGATCCACGGGAGAGGGTCTCTGCTGACCATCGGTCAAGAGGCCGAGATCGTGTCGTGACTGCAGTGCCTTGGTGGCGTGTCTGAGTGCCATGGTCTCCAGGTCTGGCCTCATGAAGAAACTATGCCTAAACAAGTTGTCCCGATAGAACTGAGGGTCGAACCCGTTGTGAAATGGAGGAAGAAATTCTTTCTCGCCTAAGCCACGGTATAAACTGTTGCGAAATAACGGGTCTGGACCGAAAAGTCCGTTGGTATTATTGTTCTCATTAACTGGATCGTCTGCGGGGATCGTATCATCGTTGACATTTAAGTTTTTAGACCCGAACGACTGGTTGTTGTTGTTGTGTTTAATCGTGTCACTTTTGCTGTTGTCGTGTTGCTGCGGCTGCGTCTGCTTCCGCTTCTGCCGTTTGCCGCACTCGCTGCCGGGCGAGATGCCGTTGGTGTAGTCGTAGCCGTTGTCCAGTCGCGGTGACCCTGACCTCATGGAGCTGAGGATGTGCTCGACCCGTGCCCGTTTGGTCTCGCCGTTGACGGGGCTGGAGGGCTTGCTGGTGACCTCATCCTCCGTGTCGTCGTCCAGGCTCCCGCACAGGTCCTCCTCCTCCCGCTTCCGCTTGACCGCCTGCATCTGTTCCTGCAGGTGCTGTATCTGCCTCTGGATGGCCAACTCCTCCGAGTGCAGCACGCTACTCTCGTGCTGTTGGGGCTGGGGCTGTTTCCGCTTTTGGCGCTTGACGTCACCAGTCAAAATACTACCGGACGAGTCCATTGTGTCCTGGTGGGGGGACTGCCTCATGCTGGTTAGTATATTGTCTACATGGGCCCGTTTGGCTTCTTTACTGTCGCCCATCTGTAGCTCGTCTGATTTTAACACGTCATCGTGGGTGGTCGCGTCCAGTGACCTCTCGTCAAGGTCATCGGACTGGTCGCCATCGTTTATACACGAGTTATTGTCCGTGGCGATTTCTATATCGTCGTTCTCGTTATCCAAGTCGTTGTCGTTATCGCGCGAGTTGTAGGCCATGTCACTAGACTTGCTGTGCAGCAAGGGGGAGATCATCTCACTGCTGCAATCGGAGCTGTAGATGGCGTTACTGGCCTTGAGCTGGGACTTGTAGCTGGCTTTGGTGTGGAGAATGTCACGGAGAAACTGAGACGAGTCCAAAGGTCCACACGTAGACTGCATCCTAAACCAAGGATACGAGGGCTGAAACACAGAGGTGGAGGCGTGAGGGGGGAGTGGGTGGATGAGGGAGTGGGTGAGTGGGTGGATGAGTGAGAGAGTGAGTGAGTGAGTGAGTGAGTGAGTGAGTGAGTGAGTGAGTGAGTGAGTGAGTGAGTGAGTGAGTGAGTGAGTGAGTGAGTGAATGAGTGAGTGAGTGAGTGAGTGAGTGGGTGAGTGGGTGGGTGAGTGAGTGAGTGAGTGAGTGAGTGAGTGAGTGAGTGAGTGAGTGAGTGAGTGAGTGAGTGAGTGAGTGAGTGAGTGAGTGAGTGAGTAAATAAAAGAAAGGTGCAGTGATGGGTGTTTGTGTGCATGAATGATGAATAGCTAATCAGACGAAATAGGTCAGTAAGTCTGTCGGTCAGTCGGTCAGATAGCATGACTGTATGTTTGTATACCTTGCGCCGGTCATATCAATACAACAACTATGTTATCGTCCACTCAAAAATACAGACATTTTTAAAGGAAAAAAAGCGTCCAAGTGTTCGCCTGTATGGCGTATTTATCTATCCCTTGCTGGTATGATTACCCTAATTCTGGCCTTGATCTAACCGTAGTCCTAATCCTAACACTGACAGCGATACTGACAATAAACCTCCAGACGACACTGCATTGATGGCAATCACAAGTAGACAATCGAACAGACAGTGCCAGCACACGTCTACAGACCTGCTAGAGACAGCCTCGGCTAGCAGACGTAAAACAAAGTAGTTCTGACGTCCTGATTTGTTTGACGTTAAACAAAGTAGTCCTGATATTTGTTTGGACGTGAAACAGAAACATTAGTACTGATGTCCTGATTTGTTTAAACGTCAAACAAATAAGTTCTAACGTTCTGATTTTTTTAACGTAAAACAAAGTAGTTCTGACCTCCTGATTTATTTAAACGTCAAACAAATAAGTTCTAACGCTCTGATTTTTTTATATTTAAAACAAAACTGTCTGGCCAAGCTGAATACATCACTCAGCTAGCCATGACCCATCACTGTTGTCTCATCCCACCCTATACAAGTGATGTATTGTAACAAGTTGCTCTAATATTTCTACTCCTTTTGTTCCTCTCATGTTTAAGTTAATGAGCGGTAGTATAGACTATAATCAACGAAATTTTAATTTATTATTTTTTTTTTAAAGAAAAAAAAAACTATAAAAATTAAAGAGAAAAAAAAAGGTTGTAAATTTTTTGTTTGTTTAATTTTTAGACCCGCCCCCATAATAACACCACTCGTCAACGCGCTCGGACAGGGAGGGGGAGGGGATTTCACCAGCTAGTAACTGTATTACATTTTTTTTAAAGATGGACAATTTGTCTAGATATTATCTAACTTTTTACGCGAGCATTTGTTTGTCGATAAAACGGTATCCGTGGTCACAATAGTATAGGACATGGTCAACAGGACAACTGTAGGACATAGTAACCAGGACACCGGTAGGACATAGTAACAAGGAAAAGTTAAGGAGAAATTTATAAAGTTATAACATCTGAAGAATGCCACTAAATAAAGCAATACTATGCTTAAAAGCAACAGAAAAATATCTAGCCTACACGTAGGTCATTCAGTTGTTGAAGTGTGTAGTGTGTCATTCAGTTGTAGCTGTGTAGTATGTCTTTCAGTTGTAGATGTGTAGTGTGTTAAAACTTCTGATATTTCAAATATGACACAACAACACACAACAGATAAGTAAAATCGCAATAAACACATTGAACACAAACAAGCAATACAAACGATAAATACAAACATGGCACAAACAACACACACAAGCATATCATACAACAACAATCACAAACATTATAAACAAACTATTACAAAACGGTAGACAGAAAAATAACAGACAAATAAATTATACAAACCCACAATCAGCAACATGGATTACAAAATCTAACCAACTCAGACACAAATACACCAAATCACCACCCCACACAGATCCACACACCAAACCACAACCCCACACAGAACCACACCCTCACACACCAACGTACACCAGCCGATGTAGAAAGCGATGACGTGCTAGACCGACTAAAAATAATTTAAAACAATTTTAGTCGCATGTATTTGGTGAGTACATTACACAAAAAACTGTTATTTTACCCCCCCCCCCCCCCCCCCCAACACCAACCATGTTTAGCCTAGTTCCTGGAGCGAGGGAGCAGAAATGTGTGAGGGGACGGGGGGCGGGGTCGCTTGGTCGTTTTAGTCCTACGTCTAAATACGTCTAACTAGTTGGTATTTTTTTTTAAAACCAGTAGCTTCGTGTCGGCCGATGATTATTTCAGCCTAGGCCTATAACAACATGGGAAGTACGAAACAGATTAGACAGCTAGCCCTAACTCTCTTGTGGCATGTGTGGTATATGTGTGGTTGTTCAATGGTGGTAAATAAGTGACAATTGTTTGGGTGTTTGTGGTACATGTGTCATTTGTGTGGTGTGTGATAGGTGTGTGATAAGTGTGTGGTATATGTGATGTTGACATGCCACATTTAACCGCGGTTAAGTGCGGTATTCATCAACATGCAGTATAACACATTCAATACACGATGACACATACAAAAAACAGCAGATAGCCTACATTCAGTGAATTTACATGACACATACATAACTCTACACTACATGACACATACATAATACTACACAGAGCCTTTGTGTTCCGTTTTCACATTTACTACAACACACAACAACACCTTACACAAATAAAACACACTCCATCTATAGTCCTATAGATCAACACACTAAACAACAAACCTGAAACGTAACTAGATAGCTACATATATGCTACTTTCACCAAAAAGTGTGACGGACACACGTCTAAATAATGCGAGGTGGACACACTCCCACAAAAAATGTGGAGTGGACAGACGGACACATTACCACGATATGTGTGGGGTGGACAGACTGACACATTACCACGATATGTGTGGGGTGTACTGACACCCAAACAAAATATATGACGGACACACGGACACAGAATCTAGTCGGACACTTGATTCAACATAACCAAGCGACTGGTTGGTCAAAGTCTACTTAAAGTCTAGATCTAAATCTAGACGCGGAGATCTAAATTTTAGATCTAGATCTAGATTCTAAATCTATTTTTGTTTTCCGGTTATATTTTACACCACCCTACCAATTTAGCCCAAACAAATTGTCCTAGATCTAGATTCAAGATTTACTGTTTACGTTAGAAATCTTGTCTCTGTGACTAGCTAGCTACACACCAATCGTACTACTTAGAAATATGTATGTGTACTGTAAGCCTTAAGAGATACATACTATTTATAATACTTGCGCAACTTATATTATACAAAAGTACTAGATCTAGTACTAGTTCTAGATCAAAGTACAAACGGACAAATTTAAAATTCAAATAACCTCAATGATGATAAACGGATTGATTTTTGTCCATATAAATTTCTAAATTTATAGATTCTAGATAAATTATGCCTTGTAATTTTTTCGTTTTTTTTTAAAAACTATTTTGAGAACAATATTAGTAAACACTTAGACTTATTAATTAAATAATCTTATAATTATAATAATGAAGAAATTAATTAATAATTGAAAAAAAAAACACGACCGTTTTAAGACGAACGGTTAACAAAGTGAATTGGCGATTCGATTTTGAATAATTTAAAACAATTCTGGTCAACCTACCTTAAGATGTATGTCTATCCGAACAGTTGACTTGGGATTTGAACACAAGACAGACACATGCAGCGCTAATCCCGCGACACGGCTCACGATGTGTACTCCGTGATGTGGTCAGTTGTGTTGTCCTAGTTTACTCGGACACAAGTATCAACACGCCACAACATCCATGCACTAATTTAATTAGTCCATACTAGTGGGTTTACAAACTAGTAACAGCCAAACAAAATATTTCACGAGAAAATGTTGTGAAAGAAATATTCCGTTATTTACCAGGCGACATAGTGTGTAGTTCAGGCTCGGCACCTGAGCTCCTGGCAGACGATATGAACACTCACACCTTTCAACGAAACAGACTAGACTAGCACGTGACGAAAGCTTTTAGAGACCACGAGCCACCTCGAAGGGGCGGAGTCAAGACAGTCAATGCACACAGATACTTTCCTCGCGCATCAGAGATGTCGCCAGCCATTGGCTGCGAAGACGCGCGCAAAGTCGCCGTCATTGGCTGAAGACGGATGGGCCTGTCATTCAAGATGCCGTCTGTAGGCCGCTTGGCGGGATTACCGCAGTCAGGCTCGCGCTGGCTCAGCCTGACCGAGCAGATAAGAAAAAGTGCGGGGAGAGGCAGACAAGAAATGATAGCGGATAATCCTAACCGACATCACGTCAAGGGGAGCTTCCAATTTGACCAGGTCCCATGCGAGGGTAGCGGATGTGTGTTGACTAGAGTTGACACAGTTCCCTGTTTGCTGGTCTGTACATCGTTACCTACTGGATTTTACCACTAACACATAGAGCTGTGGGACAACAGAGGGTAGAGAAGAAATAAATGTTTTGGGGGTGATCTTTCAACAAAACGGGTGGGGACGAGGGCAGGGGGGTGGGGGCAAAATTGATTTCTGTTAACTTTATACCCTTGTGATTCTCCGAATTACTGGCTAATGACTGAGTCACTTAATGACTTTTGAAAGCACATCTTAATTTTTCTCCCCCGCCCAGTGTTGCCGATCGCAGCGATCCCCTCTGTGGTCTGATAAAGCGATAAGCCGCATCCGTCTGGCGATTATGTCATAATGTGGTGCTCACTCACAACTTACCACCAAATTAATAACACTACAGCAACAACATCACCAAATTGATAACACTACAACAACATGCATGTCCTCCAAATTGATAACACTACAACATCACTAAATTGATAACACTACAACAACAACATCACTAAATTGATAACACTACAACAACATGCATGTCCGATATGCTCTCGTTATATTGTGTTTTGTGACTAGTGGACAACGCGGGGACAGGGGACAATGTGGGGACTGGCCTCAGTGGACAATGTGGGGACTGGCCTCAGTGGACATTGTAGGGACTGGCCTCAGTGGACAAAGTGGGGACTGGCCTTAGTGGACAATGTGGGGACTGGCCCTAGTGGACAATGTGGGGACTGGCCTTAGTGGACAATGTGGGGACTGGCCTCAGTGGACAACGCGGGGACAGGGGACGATGTGGGGACTGGCCTCAGTGGACATTGTAGGGACTGGCCTCAGTGGACAATGTGGACAATGTGGGGACTGGCCTCAGTGGACATTGTGGGGACTGGCCTCAGTGGACATTGTAGGGAATGGCCTCAATGGACAATGTGGAGACTGGCCTCAGTGGACAATGTGGGGACTGGCCTCAGTGGACATTGTAGGGACTGGCCTCAGTGGACAATGTGGACAATGTGGGGACTGGCCTCAGTGGACATTGTGGGGACTGGCCTCAGTGGACAATGTGGGGACTGGCCTCAGTGGACAATGTCGACAATGTGGGGACTGGCCTCAGTGGACAATGTGGGGACTGGCCTCAGTGGACAATGTAGGGACTGGCCTCAGTGGACAATGTGGGGACTGGCCTCAGTGGACAATGTGGGGACTGGCCTCAGTGGACAATGTGGGGACTGGCCTCAGTGGACAATGTGGGGACTGGTCTCAGTGGACAATGTGGGGACTGGCCCTAGTGGACAATGTGGGGACTGGCCTCAGTGGACAATGTGGGGACTGGCCTCAGTGGACAATGTGGGGACTGGCCTTAGTGGACAATGTGGGGACTGGCCTTAGTGGACAATGTGGGGACTGGCCTCAGTGGACAATGTGGGGACTGGCCTCAGTGGACAATGTGGGGACTGGCCTTAGTGGACAATGTGGGGACTGGCCTTAGTGGACAATGTGGGGACTGGCCTTAGTGGACAATGTGGGGACTGGCCTCAGTGGACAATGTGGGGACTGGCCTTAGTGGACAATGTGGGGACTGGCCCTAGTGGACAATGTGGGGACTACACTGTTCTGTTCTCAGGGGACAGTGGACAATGGATTCTGCCTACATGAAAATAGTGGGGGAATCTCAATCACACACACACAACACACATACGTATTCATATATATATATATATATATATATATATATATATATATATATATATATATATATATATATGGTATGTGGTGGGCAATGATTGACCCACGCTAGGTTTCTGACCAGATAAAACGATAAAAAGTTGTTAAGCGTACTTGAAACTTGGAGTGTGTATCACAAGGACAACACTCGTATGTGTGCATGGGTGTGTGTATGTGTGTGTCGCTAGAACATAACTCGAGTGTGTGTCTGTGTGCATGTGTGTGAGTCTCTAACTGGTGAGTGTGTGAGTGTGTGAAGAGATAGCCTCAAGTGTGCGGATGGGCCACATCAGGAAGGGGCTGAGACTGTTGAAGATTATAACTTCCTCTAGCAGACAGATAGGTATCAGAGCAGACTCACGTTGTGATGGGAATATAGCCACACAATTTTTAACCACTTACTCAACCACACAACACCCACTCGTGTATTGTGTCACCATATAAACAGCCACACAACACCCACTCATGTATTGTGTCACCACATAAACAGCCACACAACACTCACTCATGTATTGTGTCACCATATAAACAGCCACACAACACCCACCCATGTATGGTGTCACCACATAAACAGCCACACAACACCCAATTATGTATTGTGTCACCACCAGTGTTTCTTCCAGACTCTTTTCTCCGGGGGGGCACTTGAAATCTTCGGGGGGGGGGGCGGTAAACTTTCTTCGGGGGGGGGGGGGGGCGGACACTGTTAAAAGTATATATTTTCTATATAAATTATATAAATTTCATTTCGTTCGGGGGGGCGGTAAAAATTTTTCGGGGGGGCTTAGCCCCCCCCCCCCCCCCCCCCCCGAAGAGATGCCTGGAAGAAACTCTGGTCACCACATAAACAGCCACACAACACTCACTCATGTATTGTGTCACCACATAAACAGCCACACATCACCACTCATGTATTGTGTCACTACTTAAGACCATATTAATTGTTGTACCGTGTTAAATTTTTTATAATAGTATCACCCTGGGAAGCACCGAATATATTGCGTTACCATGGTGAACTGGCACCATAACTTTTTGAGCGGTCATTCTCAAGACCAGTGTAAGGACTTTCACTTCAGCTAAATCATTTTTAGGCTGTCTGGAGCTAAATCATGTTTTGGCTGTCTGCAGCCAAACCGAAGAAAAATGTCTGGATGGAACACTGGCTGGTGGCAACTTGCACTTCAGGTCAAATATACCACCCCCCCCCCCCCCCCCCCCCCCCAGACACTACAACTTTATTTAGACACTTTGAGCTTAATTTGTATAAACATTTGTTGTAGATCACAAAAAATCGCATCTCGCCTAGATACCCGCGGTATAAAGTCTCAGCAAATCAAAGTCCCTACACTTTTAACAAAAACCTCCCTAAAGAACCTTAACAGAACACATACATCGAACATGTTAAAAATGTTCTATCTACCAGCTAGATCTGCAACATATGTTCCAGCCTGTGACCTATCATATCCTATCAACCGAGACCGCATATGACCTCAGCAACTTGCCAACATCGGCTATACTGTCAAGTTTTCCTGGCCGGTGGAGTACCAAATAAGTATATTGTTTTTATTTTGTTTTCTTCCTTTAATTAAAGCATGGACTTCTTTCATGTTATGACTAAACATTTCTAACTTTCTAACCTTGGGCAGACAAATATTGAATTGTTTCGACCAGTGGCCTACATCAGAGTGGACACAAACAACCAATTGTTTTGTTCAGATGGCGTAACGCTTGATAAGATAGTCAAGCTACAGTTCAGATTTTACAGTAGTCATGTTACTTTCAATCAGTTGTTAACTCCACCCCCTCCCTTTCCCAGACGACACAAACTCCCAACTCAACCAGCACCCGAATAAGTACCACAAAAATGTGCGTCACAACATCACAACGTATTACGTCACAATATCACAATATCACAACTTCATGAATTCACAACATCACTGTCACAACGTCACAGCCCTGCGTCCCAGCATCACAACATCATACCACAAAGTCACAACATCACAACTTCATACCACAAAGTCACAACATCACAACTTCATACCACAAAGTCACAGCATCACAACTTCATACCACTACGTCACAAAATCACAACATCATACCACAAAATCACAACATAACAAAGTCACAACAACATACATCAAAAAGCCACATCACCAAACAACCGATAACGACAGCAATAAATTATCATAACACCCCCTCCCATTACTAACAAAATGGGGAGGGGTTGGGCGGCACCTAAAAGGTGTAGTGTAATATTGCATCTTCGTTACATATTGATAGTGATTAGACACATGTGTGTGGTAAATGTACAACGAAACGTTTAGCCAAATAGTTGTACTAACATGGTTGCACCGCACTACTCGCTGTAAAACACAAAGCACATAGCCTTGACATCAAGGTCTTGTCTTTAAAAGTACAGGATTGCCACAGAGCTGCTACAGAAATCCAAATACACCCCTACCCCCCCCCCCCCCCACCCCATTAAAATATTTTACATTTGTAAATTAATATGTTTCCATTTTTTTGTTTTGTTTTTGTGCAGTGTGTGTGGCTATAAGTATTATTGTAGCATTGTAGAGGAACTGATATGGTAAAAATATCTAATTGCATTTCACAAAGAAAATACTGTCTTTAACAAGTCACAGTAAACAATACAAGAAGATCTGTTTGGAATTGATACTAAACTGAAACAAAAACTGACCAGAACCATTTCTTTAAGCAAAGCACTTCATCATCGTTCAATTATTAAAACGACTTGTGTTTTCAACTTGTTTTATATACGTGCATAACCAAAGTATTATTTCATTATTGAACGAAAGAATATTTATGTTGTAAACTGGTAAGAGACTTGCTGAATTTGCGTCGTGTTAATTTAATGAGATTGTACAGATTCTAGTGGTGGTTTTGTTTTTTAATGAGAAACATGAAGGAAGTGAAGCCAAATGAAGAACGGATCCATCTGACCACAATACAAATAACGGGAAGGAAAATTACTTCTTTAACCCCGTATTGGCACCAGCATGTTGAACACGATAAATGGGGTGTAAAATCTGAAATATCGCAATATGTCAACCCTGCGACCGAAACTTGTGCACCTGTAGGCTAATTTTGTCTGTATGGGGGGGGGGGGGGGGATTACAGCCCTCCCCCACTACAAGATCTAATGTGGACATCAGTAAAGCCATATAGAATGTTGTCTTCTCCCCACTCACCCCCACTCTCAACCCCCCCCCCCCACAAGATCTAATGTTGACATCACTAAAGCCATATAGGATGTTGTCTTCCCCCCCCCCCTTCCCCCACCACCACCACCACAAAATCTAATTTTGACATCAGTATAGCCATACAGAATGCTGTTGTCTTCTCCCCCTCCCCCACCACAAGATCTAATGTTGACATTAGTATAGCCATATAGGATGTTGCAGAGCTACAAGTTAGTAGGGCTACAAGAAAGTAGGGCTACATGTAATTATAGAAGACAGGTGCAAACAACTGGGACCAAAAAGCGATATTTAATATAACAATACATAGTGATAGGCCTGCAACCAAACAAAAATAAGTGCATGATGACCTTAGATGTGACCTACGATGACCTTATATGTGACCTACGATGACCTTAGATGTGACCTACGATGACCATAGATGTGACCTACGATGACCTTAGATGTGACCTACGATGACCTTAGATGTGACCTACAATGACCTTAGATGTGACCTACGATGACCTTAGGTGTGACCTACGATGACCTTAGATGTGACCTACGATGACCTTAGATGTGACCTACGATGACCTTATATGTGGCCTATGATGACCTTGGGTGTGACCTACGATGACCTTGGGTGTGACCCGCAATTACCTTAGATGTTGCCCACGATGACCTTGGATGTTGCCCATGATGACCTTGGATGTGACCCACTATGTCCACAATGCCCCCCCCCCCCCCCGAAGAGGTGCCTGAAAAAAACTCTGCGCTGGGGATTGCAGTGGTAATTATGACTTGTAGTGGTAACTATGACTACCCAAATTACTAGTCTGTTTTGTCAGTATACGTCGGTAGTTTTGGTAATTTTGATAAAAAAATGTCATAATTATTTTAAAACAGAAACGGCTGTGCTGCTCGGCCTACACATGAGCTGCCCATTTGTCTGACAAACACACAGGTACGCCAGAAATAAAATTGAAATTACCCCATGAAACTTGTTGGTAGAGCAGCTATTGACTGTTGATTAGATGTAGGAAAAATTTTAATTGTTCAACCAGTACATAACTTATTTTCACCATCTACACATAGATGGACAGACCAGCATAAGATTGATACTACGGAGAAAGACAAAACAAGAAATCCAGGCAACCGCATTTTGTGTACGGTTTAATTTCTTGTTTCGTATTGGGAGGTTGAAATTTTTATAATGTACTAGCGTACCCGACGCCCGCGCGTTGCCGCGGGGATAGAAGAAAGTTTGACGAAATATATTAGGAATTCACCAACGCTTTATCAATTATAATTATATGTTCTTAAACGCGTGACCTACTTTTCTAAAACCTTGAGTGTACATTAATTAATATGGTAGAACACACTTCGGTGAGCGCCTCTGTGTAAGAGCGTAGAGGGGCGCTCTCATGCCCCCCCCCCCCCCCGATTACACTACCGCATAGGCGCGGCGTACTACCCCTGGCTCCTTAAAACTAACAGGCGCCATCGGCCAAATAGTATCCTGTTAATAAAGATGCAGATTTCGTCATTCGCTAAAGTGACACAAATGATCAGGATTTTTTTCTTTGACACGTAAAAAAATTATTTGACGTGTTTTAAATATCAGTGTGACTGATGCAATATGCTAGCGTTACTAATGGTCTATTATTAGATGCTCGATCTCAATTTCTGACTGGATTGTCTAATAATAGATGCGTATTGCATCATTCGCAAAGTGACGAAACTCTACAGTAGGCTCCTCATATTCAAAAAGTTATTTTTTCATCTTTCGCAAGGTGACAAAACTGTACAGAAGGATTTCCTCGCGTTACAAAGTCATTTTTAGAAGCCTGTTGTAGTTTTACCGCTGAATATAGTAGTACTCCTTACTCGCAATGCAGGACGCTCGATTAACGGATGCCAAGTGCCAACATAGTCGCTCTAAAGCTCTGGGCGCCAAACCGTGTATTGACGAAAGTTGTACCCTATATGGCGCCGCCCATAAGAAACTTTAGTTTTCTTTTTCGCAGAAATATTCTCGGGAGTATTCTCATCTACTCCTTAAAGTTTCATGGTACTCGGATGAACCGCATCCGAGTTTTATTTTTTATAAACCGTGTATAGAGGAGAAAAATCGCTCCCACCCCCCACCCCGGGGACGCCGCCCTTGCAATATTAAACAATATTTTTTTGCAGAACCCTACCATTGAGTGATCTAATCATCTCCCCAAAGTTTCATGGTACACGGATGAACGGTGTGAAACCGAAATTTTATAAACCGTATATAGAGAAAAATCGCAGCCTCCCGTGGCGCCGCCCTTGCGAAATTAAAAATGATTTTTACAGAACCTTTCACTAGAGTTTTATAATGAACTCCCCAAAGTTTTATGCCTATCGGATAAACGGTGTCACTGCAATTCACTTTTATTATTTTTATATACCGTAAATAGAGAAAAATCGGACCCTCCCGTGGCGCCGCCCTTGCGAAATTAAAAATGATTTTTTTACAGAACCCTTTCCTAGAGTGGTATAATGAACTCCCTAAAGTCTCATGACTATCGGATGAACGATGCCAAACCAAAATCGACTTTTGTTTTTATATACCCTATATATAGAAAAAAGCAAATCGCGCCCTGTCGGGGTGCCACCCCTGCGAATTTGAAATATTTTGTTTCGCATAAACCTCCCCAGGAATATTCTCAACAACTTCCTAAGGTTTCATGCCTATCGGATCAACGGTGTCACTGCAATTCACTTTTATTATTTTTATATACCGTATATAGAGAAAAATCGGACCCTCCCGTGGCGCCGCCCTTGCGAAATTAAAAATGATTTTTTACAGAACCCTTCCCTAGAATGGTATGATGAACTCCCCAAAGTCTCATGGCTATCGGATGAACGATGCCAAACCAAAATCGACTTTTATTTTTATATACCGTATATAGAGAAAAACAAATCGCGCCCAGCCGGGGCGCCACCCCTGCGAATTTGAAATATTTTTTATCGCAGAAACCTCCCCAGGAATATTCTCAACAACTTCCCAAAGTTTCACGGCGATGTGATGAGAGGTGTAGTAATGCATAAAGGACAGACACACACACACACAGACATACATTGCTTTTTATATATATAGATAGAAGATAGATAGATTAGTTGACTTACATTCTGGGTGAATTTCACGAGACCTGTCAATCATTATTGTCAGACGAACAAATTAGTTGATTAGTCGAAGGACGAAATGTGTGCAGAAAATCGTAGGCCTAGGAGTTTGTTACAGGAACAGAGAAATGGTCAATTAGTTTGAAAAAAAATGGAAAAATGTCCTGATATTGTGTACAAGAAAAGCTGATGTAGGAGAAGGTATTTCAATGATGGTGTAAATGATGCTGTGGAGAACCTTAGGCAAAGAGACAAGTTTAGAATCAAAGCATGTATAGCCCTCATGGGTTGATGGTATACACGTGACACGTGACACAATGGGTGCATTAGGGTCAGGCCTGGCAATGGGTGGCAGAGGCTCTCAGTATGCAATGATGGTTTTAAAAAGTTTTTTTTTTAGGTAAATTAGATGCTAGAGAAGATGAGGGTCTGTAAATGTAATGATGGTACCCAATCATTATGTCTTATGTAGAATTGTAGAAGCAATATTTCTAACACTAACTGATCGTACCCAATCATTATGCTTTATGTAAAAGCAATATTTGTAACATTTACTGATCCTACCCAATCATTTAGCCTTATTATATAGAAGCAATATTTGTAAATGTAGCACTAAACGTTAAGTTACAATATGACTCAACGACGGTGATGCACATTACTTGACACTACGCACTAAATGAACTTGACCTAATTGCGTCAATCCACATGTACAGATTGCTTTAATCTGGAGTCAATTTTTTTGTGTAAAGAATCAATTTTTATTATTTATGTTTATTAACACATTAAGAAACTAGACTAAGCTTCCCTATTTCTTACAGTACTTTGCATGTTTGTTTGTTTTTTGTTGTGGTGGTTTTGTTTTGTTTTGTTTATTTATTTTTTAAATTTATATATATATATATATATATATATATATATATATATATATATATATATATATATATATATATATATATATATATATATATATATATATATATAAGGCCTTTAGTGGTCTGCTTAAATGGAAAAAAATCTATCTTCGTTAGTAAAAAAATAAACACTGGTTTGAGATATGCAGGTGGCTTGTTAAATCCATCAGTATTTTAAATTACGGGTTTGATTTTATTATCCCACGATTAGAAAGAACTGTGAGGAGCGACATTCTACACACCAAAGATAGGTCCGTAGGATAAGGGTCTTTTATGGTGCAATATTTAAAAAGTTTTTTTTTTTTTTTATAATCCTAATCCTTACTGCTACAAATGAAGACTATCCTTTATCAAAAATCCTATTACTAGAGTTAGGCCTACATAGAGACACAATATATACTTTTTTTTACCAGTGTCAGCCCCCCCCCCCCCCAAATGTCTGAAAGAAACACTGCTCATCACTTAGATAATAGATTTCATAACATAACAAGGCCCTTATCTTATTTGATATTGATCTAAATATTGTACCACAAAGTGAAAGACTACCTATAACGGAAATCTAGAATATTATTTACAATGAGCATGCGTGAACTGGTGACCTTTCGGAAAACAAGAAGGCCGCCATGCTAGCTTCCTCAAACATTCGATATTTTGGCCAATTTCGCTGGCTTGCTTCTTGTAGACAAAATGTCTTAAAGCCAAAGGTACGTATTTAAGTATCTATCCTAAATAGATATAAAAAGTAAAATAAAAGGCACTTGTACTGTTTTCTAATTATAAAGTTTTCATTATGTTTTCGACCTTTGTCTTTGCAATGTTACGTCCAGTTACCTGAAGTTGACTTTCAACAAAAGCTATCCCCAACCTTTGATTAGTAGATTTCTAGATCTAGACTCTAGATCCAATGTCTTCACTTTGTTTTGTGATCATAAAACATTACGATACACATTTCAAAAGTAGATCTATCTGCTCTACTCTAGGTCTAACTAAATTGAATTCTAACTCCTACAAAATAATATTAAAAATAAAACAGCTGATTCAGTTATTGATCAACAAATGAATTTTTGGGTTAAAGAACTAAAAACATTTTAGAATCTAGATCTAGAGTCTAGATCCAAGTCTGGTATCTCTTAAATTTAAGGGTGATTGAAGATACTGATGTCCGATTGTATTGTAATCTCAACTAAATTTTAGGCCTAGGCATATAGATCTACTCCCATATAGTCCAGGCCTATAAAATATATTTAGAACTAAGAAATAAGGGTTTGACTTAACTTAATGATGGTAGGGCAGGCTAAACCCTTTATCTTTTTCAGTCGTAGTACGATGTCTTATGGCACTAGAATATGGTGCAAGTATGATAAATAAAAACAATGGGAGCTACCGGTTTTAGTTTCACTTTTGCCCATACAGGGAAATCCTCAATGGGGAAATTACATCTACAAATACTTTTCCAGAAAAATGTGTGACTTAGTTTTTTCATGGAGCATTCTTGATCAACACTGCTCGTCGTAATTAAAACTTAATAGTCTTCACTAATCAACAATCTAACAGTTATAAATGTAACAGTTACAAATATAATTATCGAAGTGACTACTCAGAAGATTTTTCTCCCCAACATCTCCACTTAGTCGGCAAAAGATAGCTCTGCGCATGCGCAGTGACCTATGATTAGGGTTGGTGTTAGGGTTCTGCGGCTGTAAACACACGCATGCGAATTACCATTGAAAACATCGCCGCGAATGCAAGTCGTAGTTTCTCTCCATTGTGCATGCATATCTTTTTCCGGCTAGCATCGGCCTATAATTATATCCAATAAAAAATTAATTTACTGAGAAGTTAGATTGATGCAATTTTATTCAATATGTTCTCAGATGATTTTGAGGAAAATGGCTAGAAATCTATTTTTAGCTTCTTTACAGTACATGTTTTCCCTTTGTCACATAAATCTTCATAAAGAAGAAAGTAAAACAAGTTAATTAAAAAGTCTAGTGACAATTTTAGCGCAATTTCCTTATGTTATCTAAAAATAGCTCTGTCGTAGCGTAAATCAAGAGCAGGGTTAGTAAAACCATTGGTTAGTTATTAAAACGTTTTTTATTTAAAAAAAATTTCAGTATTTTACATGTTTTATTTACAATAGAGTTACATGACTAAAAACCATTGCGCGCCTAGCTACTGAACGTGATGACGAAGCCATAGAACGTGATGGTGCAGCTATTGAACGTGATGACACGTGTGGTGTGGTTGGAAAAAATGCCTACTAATTCGGTCCAAATTTTAATTCATTCAAAAAAAATTTTGTGACAGAACGAAAGGATATTTTTGAAAACTTTCTTCGGCAATATTGTTCTAAATTATGGCAGGAATCGATTGGTACATGTTTCAAGTCGCTAAGTGGTCTGGTTGCCGAGATATGGGCCAAAAACTGCTTTTTTTTTTAGGTTTTTTGGCTTTTCCGGGAAAACCATGAAAGAAACCCGGACTTTTTATAGCCTATGTTCATCCTCGTAACTTGCTTAACATAATTGCTTTTGGAACTAGTCATCGATATTGCTTCGTTGAGGAGGAGATACGACTTAAAGCTGCGGACACACATCCATCCATTCATTCATACATTCATACATCCAGAAATGACGGGTTAATAAACGCAATTCTCCAGAATGGAAATTGCGCTAAAAACAATTGGTTCTTAACATTATTTAATGATAAAGCTTAAAAACTAATAAATTTAAATTAAATTTTTGAAACGCAAAAAAAAAAATGAAAAAAAAAAACAACCCACAAATTTGCTAATTATTTCTTAATAAAATATATTAAATAATTTTTTAAGTCTAATTGAGTTTAAGTTTAGGCCTAATAATTTATGATTTTTAGTTATTGTGAGTTTTTATATCCATTTTTAGATAAATGATCTATTTCATCAATTCTACCTACACATGAGATATAGAGTATTGAAAATACTGTGGTCATTTTTTACGAGTTAATAATATAGTTTGTTATGTACAGTTGCAGCTTTAGCATAATGGTTTGATAAGAATGTATTTCATGTCCAAGAATCTATTTATTTATTTAACCTAACTCAAACTAAATGACAGTGGTGTCAGGTGAATGTTTATCAGGACTTTTTTTCTTAATAGAAATTTACCAGATCTATCTTTTTATACCAACATCTTTGTAAAATACTTATCATTTTGGCATTTCTAAACTAATTCTTCACATGACCAAAGTACAGAGTTGATATGCTTTCATTTGCCTAAATTTCTATGATAATGTGATGAAATTTGTGTAATGAAAATATATAAGGCATCTAGTGTAGGTTGTCTCACTAAAATTGAAATAAGGCCTACGTAATTTCTATATACTAGGCCCTATTCACTAAATTTAAGGCCCAATCGAGTCTTAGAAATAATCTATGTATTTGTATAAATGTAAGTATGGGATGGTTATTGTGTGGGCAAAATTGAAATTTCGGAGGACAGCACCCCTGCAGGATGCGATTTTTTTTTTTTTTTTTTTTTTTTTTTTTTTAAAATATAAAAATCAGCTGCATTTTGGCACCTAGAGTTCCAGAGCGGTTATATTAACACTTGGTATTTGTTGATAGGGTGTCCTGCATAGAAGGTACTACTTTATTCAACTGTAAAACATCACCATACACATCTGTCAGCACCACTGTGGTTGAGTGACTTGGAGCACCCCAGGCTCCCCTGTGAGCATTATGGCGCCTTTGTTCATTTTTATAGCCTATGCTCTAAGAACATGGTTGGCTACAATAATTGTTGATTAAATCTAACCAGGCACATCCTGGTGCCCCCATAGGCTGTGATTTGGTGCCCCAGCTTCTTGTTAACACCATAGCCCTTGGTTTGTTTTATAAAGCGTGATACAATGCGAACACTATGGGCTACTATAATCATTCACTACAGCAAATCAGACGCATCCTCTGGTGCCCTGACGGTATGATTTGTTGCACCAGGCTCCAACATGAACTATGGTTCCTATGCTTGTTGTAAAGAGTGCCATATGCTATGGATACGGTGAGCTACTATAATCGTTGGCTATATCAAACCACTGCGTTTCCACCAGCACCTGGTGGTTGGATGCCCCGAGCACCTGGGCTCTTATGTGAGCGCCTATATTAGTTTTAAAGAGCACCCTATGATAGGGACATGGTGGGCCACTTCATTTGATGACTTACCCAACCAGGGCAGGCACCCAGCGCCCCTGCTGTATTGTAACGTGGCCCCCAAGAGCGTGAGCCCCTGATACATGGGTGGTAGCCAAGTTGTGTTCTACTTCACTAGTACTAGTTGAATTAATATAATTTTAAGGCGTCCATATAGAACACCCAGGGCTTCCTGCAGGATTGTGAACAAACCCACGCCCCAACATTTCAAATCCAATATGAACGGTGCTATTTAGAAAACAAGGACAAGTGACTAAAAATATACATTGATGAAATACTCGTAAAATATTGAGTCCGCCTTCAAGAACACGCTGCACGGGTTTGCTAGTTCAGTATAAAAAATTCATTTTTTATCAGACAAATTAGCGAAAAATTACTAGGTTGTTTTAGCAAATTTTTAACTCATGTGCCTAATCATAGTAAGCTAAACATTTTAAGTAATGTCATAAACGATGTTCCCTCTCTTACTGTTGTCAATCTAAATACATTTTAGGAAACATGACTTAACAGTTTAATCTTATATTTGTACTAATCAAAAAGACTTTTGGAAGCTGATGTAAACACCTTTATAATAAATATGTAGGGGGGTGGAAGCAGGCGTTAATAAATAACAAGTTTTTAATGAATTTGACAAAATTATATTGTTGATCGCAAAATGTGCTTGAGATTTCTTGAGTGTAAATCGACTGCTTATGAAAAAATGTTTATTTCACTATTTCATGTGCAATCAAAAGCTTTATATTATGAAGATGTTTACATTTGTTTTGTTAAGAGGAGGTTAATTAAAGTTGTGACTTGAAATTTGTGATTCAGCCTCTTCAGTAGTAAAGTGATACAGTTAACAAACTACTAGTGAGTAGGTTTTTAGTTTTAGATCTAGTTGAGTTCATCTAACAACGTAGTTGTCCTGTTGATAAAAGCCAATTTCTAATCTAAGTAAATATGTGCTACTCATCTATCCAAGCTACAGTGACTTGATCAGATCCTGGGCCTCTCAAGTTTGTTACATGATATTGCACGTGATATTGATTCTATACAGAGTACAGAGACCCTGCTGGGCATTGTCTCAGTAGGGCACTGTAGCAATTAATCTGTCCTCATCACCTAGACTTCTGTCTGGTCAAGCATTGATTCCTCTAATATATGGGGATATTTGTTCTTCACTGAACTACTTCATGCTTCATTAGAGACGTATATTGGCTTTAGCATCATTGTTTTTACCTTAGACCAGTTGATGCTCGCTGTGCTTGCAAAGAAGGTTCTAACAGTAGTTAGGAAACATGGGTCAGCTGACTCTAGTGTATACAACATAACCAGGACCTTAATGCTGCTGTAAAATGATATCCTGTGTTGTATAACAGGTGGGGCATAACAGACAATGCATGCACTAAAAGTCTAACATCAGCCCAAAACATTGAAATAGGGTTAAAAAAAATAGAACATTAGCTTTTGTGTTTTTCACTTCCAGATTTAAAAAGTTTAGTTCTATTTCTCTTTTTATTTTTTTAAGAAATACAGATGGTTGGTTGAAATCCTTACATTATTTTAGTGTGTGAAGCTAATTTTCAAAAACACATTTTTTCTTTCTAGTATTTTGTCCTTGACCAAAGTTTTATATTTATATTTAGTTCTTTAAATTTAAATGTTATAAATTATAATGATTGTATCAGGATTGTTTATATTTTTAAAGAAACATTTAGCTTAAAAATGTAATCAAACATCAGGTCTCTTGAATAAGTTTCATTGACTATAGTTTATAGAGTAGGTTTGTTAGGTACACTGGTAGGTTTGTTAGTAATGTTAGGTACATTGGTAGGTTTGTTAGATACCCATAGGTTTGTTAGTAATGTTAGGTACACTGGTAGGTTTGTTAGTAATGTTAGGTACACTGGTAGGTTTGTTAGATAACCTACCGGTTTGTTAGTAATCTTAGTTACACTGGTAGTTTCTTAGGTACACTGGTAGGTTTGTTAGATACACTGGTAGTTTCGACCCCCAAAGGAACACATGGGTCGCTGATGGCCCTGTTATACAATTTTTTTAATAATCAGAAAAATTTACCAAGGGTTGTTTCCTTTTGTCTGTAAAAATAAAAATACAAACAGTTTCGTCACTTTGCGAATGATGCATCTATTTTTAGACGATCCCATCAGAAATTGAGATCGAGCTTCTGATAATACACCATTAGTAACACTAACAAATTGCATCAGTCACACTGATGTTTATAACACGTACAAATATTTTTTTTCTACGTATTAAAGAAAAATCCTGTTGATTTGTGTAACTTTAGTGATGCAATCTGCATCATTGTTTCAGGATGCTATGTGGTGCTCTGGGTAATCCTGTTAGCACTATGGTGCCTATGTTATTTTTAAGGTGCCAGGGGTAGTATGTGTCGCCTCTGTGGTAGTGTAATTGGGGAGCTCCCCTCGGAGCCCCCCTCTACGTCCCTGGCACATGGGCGGTCACTGAAGGGTGTTCTACCTCATTATTTAGGTGAGTGATTAACGTACACTCAAGGTGTTCATGCAGTAATGTAGGTAAACCCATGTCCCAATATTTATGATGCAAGCGCAGGCATTGTTTACATTCAAATAACTCAGCTTTAGAAAACAAGGTCATACGTCTAAGCATATATGATTGGTAACGCATTGATGAAACCCTTCTTATATATTTCGACAGACTTTCTTCTATTCCCGCGGCAAAGCGCAGGGACGGGTACGCTAATAGTTAATAATTTTAACGAGTTTGGTAGAAGATATTCATTATAGAAATACTGCTCTCTATAAATAGCTCATACTTCATATGAGACTAACTTGGTAAATAATCTGGTCATGTGATTAAAGATTTGTATGATGTCTGCCAACTTCTCCATTCAAACACTACTACACTAATTAAAGTCCAACACTTGAACATTCCACATCAAGATTACAAATAAACTTGTACTGCAAGTTATTACAAGATATTTTAGTTGTAGTGAGAATCAAATTACCCTTTTCTAATAGTGTAAGTAGATCCTCAATTTGGCCTTTAAATTTATAGTGGTCCAAGTAGTAGTAGAACAAAGTAAAAGTTGGTTGGGAAATCTTTAAAACTAGCACAATGAGATTGTAATGCTATTTAAGATGACTTGAATCACAAGTAACAGAGGCTGATGACATTTGATATAAAAACTTGGCCTATTATAGCGGACTAGTATAGAATGTATTAGCATTGTTCTCATTGTCTTAATTGAAAAGATGTGCTTCCCTCTAGTGGTGTAATGTCCTCACCGATCTTTGCTTTTGTTTCTTGCTTAACCCTGATCAAGTCGCTAGTTAGCTAGACTTTAGACTTGGTATTATTAACTGGATTTGTGCAGCCTGTTTTAAGGTCAATGATTTGAAACTATTTATCCTTTTTTACTTGTCACTATGTGCTGTTTCATCTGGCTGTCTTGTTTGGCTGTCAGGTTGTGCTGCCTTGTGTAGCTAATATGCGCGCTTGTTTTTATGTATCTGATGGGCTGGTTTATGTACCTGATGGGCTGGTTTATGTACCTGATGGGCTGGTTTATGTACCTGTTGGGCTGGTTTATGTACCTGATGGGCTGGTTTATGTACCTGATGGGCTGGTTTATGTACCTGATGGGCTGTTTTATGTGTCTGTTGGGCTGGTTTATGTACCTGATGGGCTGGTTTATGTACCTGGGCTGTTTTATGTACCTGGGCTGTTTTATGTACCTGATGGGCTGGTTTATGTACCTGGGCTGTTTTATGTACCTGGGCTGTTTTATGTACCTGATGGGCTGGTTTATGTACCTGATGGGCTGGTTTATGTACCTGGGCTGTTTTATGTACCTGATGGGCTGGTTTATGTACCTGATGGGCTGGTTTATGTACCTGTTGGGCTGTTTTATGTACCTGGGCTGTTTTATGTGCCTGATGGGCTGGTTTATGTACCTGTTGGGCTGGTTTATGTACCTGTTGGGCTGGTTTATGTACCTGATGGGCTGTTTTATGTACCTGATGGGCTGGTTTATGTACCTGATGGGCTGTTTTATGTACCTGATGGGCTGTTTTATGTACCTGTTGGGCTGGTTTATGTACCTGATGGGCTGGTTTATGTAACTGATGGGCTGTTTTATGTACCTGATGGGCTGTTTTATGTACCTGGGCTGTTTTATGTACCTGTTGGGCTGGTTTATGTACCTGATGGGCTGGTTTATGTACCTGATGGGCTGGTTTATGTACCTGGTTTATGTGCCCCTGTGTGGCTGGTTTATGTGCCCCTGTGTGGCTTGTGATGTATCAGGTGTGAAGACACGTTGAGTGATAAAGACGAGTACTAATCCCGCAACACGTGTCCGCCCCAAGTGTGTGTGCTATGTCTGGTAACAGGTGTGTCCCCATCCAGCCATTGTCGTCCTTGTGTTAAGAAGAAGCGTCTTATCCGACCTGCCCCACTGGTTGATACACGGCGTGCCAGATCAATATTTGATGAGCTTGTCTTGACAGAATGGCGGATCCATTTCATGGGGGCCGGCGCGCCTCTAGTTGAGGTGTGTCCACGACCCCAGCACCAGCATTGGTGTCACCCTTTTAGTTGTGGGGGGATAACAAGAATGTTTCTGCTTGAGCTGGGTCTCCCCTCCACGATCGTGGGGCTGCGTGAATAATTGACGAGTTACAAGATGATGGTTACAGCACTCAGCCTGCAGTGCTGACAAGCGCTAGTGTAGCGAGTGCTTTTCATTATTCTTTTACTGACTTTTCTTCACTTGGATGCAAAGATTTGATAGCTGGCCCCAGTCTGGTGTAGATGGCCCAGGCCATAATGGAAGAGTTACCGGGCCAGCCCGTCAGTCAGCCCGTGCACGGGTCGGTTACTTCTCATTACAATCTATCTAGCCCGATTGTCTTTGCTTAATTACCAGGCCTGGAGCGCACGGCTGGTGATGAAGCTAAGATCAATAAGCAGGTGTCTTGCAGGAGCGGGTCGGACTGGGATTAATCCTATGATGGATCACCTAGTGTCTTGTTCAGCGCTACTGGCCCCTACGGAGTTGTTCCCCTTTGTTGCCCAGAGCAGTGATTGAAAAAAGTGGAGGGAAAAAGGTGGTGGCGGTGATGCGTGGAAGAAGCGATCAATGACAGACACTTGCAGACATAACTAGATATTCCTGGCTTTCCATTACGCGCAAATGAAACAAGAAGGAGCCGATCTTATTGATGAGGCTTACCTGTCGCCGCCTTGCCCGTGGCGGGTTCTGGATTGTGATTGATGCTTTGTCCCGGACTATTTGCTCTGGTCGCCCAGTCTCCTCTACACAGTTCCTTTGTTGTTGTTTTATTATTTTTTTATGCATGAGATTGACGTTTTAAGACACATTAGCTGTCGGCCATCTTGCTTGATTGGTACAGCGCTGACTGGGCAGATAGGCTGGCGCCGGGCCAAAAGCTTTTGTCGACCGTTGTTAGGTTCAAACACGCGCGGCCCGCCATAATGGGATGCCATCATGTGCATCCAGTGGACATATCAAATGCATTTGACTATCGCCGTACACCCAGCCTTGTCCATTTAGCGTGCCATTGTTATCTGTATTGTCTGTTGCATGCCACTGATGCCTCTATTGTTGTCTGTTGCAGGCTCTAGCTGCTGCTGCCAGATGCCAGGAGAGAGGTAAGACATTTTTATTTGACCTGCAATAGGAAGCCTTAACGGCGGCTGTGGTCAGGTGACCAGGTACACAAGGTCCACAGGTGGCCGCATGTCAGGGGTGTGGAGGCCCCTCAGTGGCGCGCGGGCAGCTTCTATAATGTAGCTCAATTAGCACGTATTGCAGGCTTTGCTTACCGTTAATAAATGGGCCCCTAGAGATGGCCCGGCCGGCCACGATAAAGACGAAACCTAATGGAATTTCTCGTGCGGAGCCGCACAATAATCCACCGGTGCTCCGCCTGGCAAGTTTGATTCCTGTCTGTTTTGTACATAAATCGTAATCAGCGAAATGGTTGCCGGCTGTTTGTAGCCATTACCTTAATGAAGAAATGTATTTGCTAGGTATCGCAGTCACCGGAATAATGGCCGGGCCGCTTTGTTCTTTAATTATTGTTTTCTTTTCCCGGCCTTATTTCCGTGCTGTAAATGATTGAGGCCAGCACTAGAACACTGTTGTCAACTCTTAGTGAGCGGGATGCAAGAAGCAATTAACTGGGGTTTTTCTCTCTTTGAAACCTCCGTGATTGTTGGCGGGACTTATTGTTTGTGTGCATATTCCCCTGATCCCTGTAAGATAAGTGCTTACATGCGCACTGTTTGGTTGACCGTGGACACCTTGTGTAGCGAGGACAAGTATTTAAGTTCCACTCCAAACTTGAGCGTCATTAGGAGGTTTAGCCCGATATGGTCGTCATCAATTATCTCCTGGCCACCCGACCAAATGGTTTCAAACAAAACACTTACTAATGTGTTTTACTAACGGCATCAATACATCTCATGCACCTAAAGACATCGCTTTAAAACACTTTGTAAATGGTAGACCTGTTAGTTCAGTTGTGGGTGCAGTAAGTAATGCTTGTAACAGTATAGTCCGTGCCAAAGAGAAGTGGGGGGGGGGGGGACCGCGAGTGCACTCTCCTATTTTACTACACTCTCAATATCCTCATTGTGTTTTAGTGCACTTCGTTATCCTACTACTCTCTGAATATCCTCATTGTGTTTTAGTGCACTTTATCTTACTACTCTCTCAGTATCCTCATTGTGTTTTAGTGCACTCCCTTATCCTACTACTCTCTCAGTATCCTCATTGTGTTTTAGTGCACTCCCTTATCCTACTACTCTCAGAATATCATTGTGTTTTAGTGCACTCCCTTATCCTACTACTCTCTCAGTATCCTCCTTTTTTTAGTGCACTCCCTTATCCTACTACTCTCTCTGTATCCTCATTGTGTTTTAGTACACTCCCTTATCCTACTACTCGCTCAGTATCCTCATTGTGTTTTAGTGCACTCCCTTATCCTACTACTCTCTCAGTATCCTCATTGTGTTTTAGTGCACTCCCTTATCCTACTGCTCTCAGTATCCTCATTGTGTTTTAGTGCACTCCCTTATCCTACTACTCTCTCAGTATCCTCATTTTTTAGTGCACTCCCTTATCCTACTACTCTCTCAGTATCCTCATTGTGTTTTAGTGCACTCCCTTATCCTACTACTCTCTCAGTATCCTCATTTTTTTAGTGCACTCCCTTATCCTACTACTCTCTCAGTATCCTCATTGTGTTTTAGTGCACTCCCTTATCCTACTGCTCTCTCTGTATCCTCATTGTGTTTTAGTGCACTCCCTTATCCTACTACTCTCAGTATCCTCATTGTGTTTTAGTGCACTCCCTTATCCTACTACTCTCTCAGTATCCTCATTGTGTTTTAGTGCACTCCCTTATCCTACTGCTCTCTCTGTATCCTCATTGTGTTTTAGTGCACTCCCTTATCCTACTGCTCTCTCTGTATCCTCATTGTGTTTTTTGTTTGTCAGGTGCCGCTGTGTTGACGTCATCACACTGCAGGTTCACATCTCTGACCTCAAGGTAAGCAGGTCAAGGTCACATTTATTTAGTGGGTGGGGGTGCAATATCTGACCTATCATAAGCAGGTCAACTTCCAATTTATTTACTGGGTGGGTGGGGGGGTGCCATATCTGACCTCAAGGTAAACAGGTCAAGGTCACATTGGTATATGACTTACATAAGTCATACTTGAAGTATTTTCTTGACTTTGAAATGGCTGGTGATCCACCAGTCAACTTGACTTGGTACAAGTGATGGTCTAGGTGACTGCAGGTGTTGACCTGTTACCAGCAGCTGTTGGTGGTGTAGCTGTGAGATGGTGGAGACAGCAGTGGTTTAAGGTGGAATGGAGGCCATACAACTCACTGTCATGCGCAAATGAGATGCTGTGTTTGTCTAAAGATTGTATCATCTCCCTATGTATCAGCCTGTGTTTGTTTTTTTCTACAGCCAACAGTTAGGATCTTTAAAAAACTCTAGATGTCTCCACACTAGCAGATACCTGTGTAAGTCAGTTTACATTTCATACATCTGGTACTGCTGTCTGATCCTTTTGTCTAACCCCCTGTTGTCTCTTTAACCACTGTACCCCCACCTCCCCCCACCTCCCCTGCCCTAGAGTTTCTTGTAGTGTCAGCTAGCCTATTGAACCTGTGCCCACACACTGAAGCAGAAACAGCTTTGATATCATCAGTGTTGTGTTGTCTCCTTCCTTGTGCTGGCTCTAATGTGTGCTGCAGCTGTTGCAGTTTCTTTCATTATGAAAGTAGACTGACTAGAGGGAAGTGTGGGGGGTGTTACTTTGGTTGAGGGGGTGTGTGGATTGGTTGATCGGAGGTGTGGGATGTTATTTGGTTGTGGGAAGTGTTACTTGGCTGTTGTGAGCTGTGGGGGGGGGGTGGTGATGTTACTTGGCTGTTGTGAGCTGTGGGGGGGGGGGTGAAACTTGGCTGTTGTGGGGTGGTGGTTGTTACTTGGCTGTTATAAGGGGTGCTGATTTGATTGTTAGGAAGTGGTATTATTTATTGTAAGGAGGTATAGGTTAAAAGTTAACATTAGGGATATATTCTCTCTCTCTCTCTCTCTTGTACTTAGGAATCTGATGTTCTCTCTTGTTGTACGTAGGAATCTGATGTTCTCTCTTGTTGTACGTAGGAATCTGATGTTCTCTCTTGTTGTACGTAGGAATCTGATGTTCTCTCTTGTTGTACGTAGGAATCTGATGTTCTCTCTTGTTGTACTTAGGAATCTGATGTTCTCTCTTGTTGTACTTAGGAATCTGATGTTCTCTCTTGTTGTACTTAGGAATCTGATGTTCTCTCTTGTACTTAGGAATCTGATGTTCTCTCTTGTACTTAGGAATCTGATGTTCTCTCTTGTTGTACTTAGGAATCTGATGTTCTCTCTTGTTGTACTTAGGAATCTGATGTTCTCTCTTGTTGTACTTTAGTTTCTGATGAAATCAGAGCAGTCAACTCCCCACCATTTGCTGACTCCATCTCAGAGGGAGACATGCGATGGATCAAAGGTGAGCCTTTCTGTTGTGTAGTACCTCCTGTCCTTGGTCAACCAATGACTGGACTTACATGTTAAACCAATGACCTAATGACTGGATCCAGATGTTGCTTGTGTTAAACCAATGACCTAATTACTTAAATATGTTAAACCAATGACCTAATGACTGGACTTACATGTTGCCTATGTTAAACCAATGACCTAATGACTTGTAATGTCTTCGCAGCTGTTGGGGAATCTGTCAGCAAAGATGAAGTTGTGGGTGAGATTGAAACAGATAAAGTAAGTTTCTTATTAACCGTAGTTTGTCAGCTTTTTGTGATGTTTTTACAGATGTAGTTGTCAGCATATTCAATGATTCATCATTTGTTCTCATTGGCAAGTAATTTATCATTCAGTTTTCAAGTTGTCAGTTGTTTAGATGAGTTATGAGTTAGCTAGTGATGTATAGCTGGCTGGCTTGTTAAAATGAGTTAGCCAGTGATGTATAGCTGGCTTGTTAAGATGAGTTAGCCAGTGATGTATAGCTGGCTTGTTAAGATGTGTTAGCCAGTGATGTATAGCTGGCTTGTTAAGATGAGTTAGCCAGTGATGTATAGCTGGCTTGTTAAGATGAGTTAGCCAGTGATGTATAGCTGGCTGGCTTATTAAGATGTGTTAGCCAGTGATGTATAGCTGGCTTGTTAAGATGTGTTAGCCAGTGATGTATAGCTGGCTTGTTAAGATGAGTTAGCCAGTGATGTATGGCTGGCTGGCTTGTTAAGATGTGTTAGCCAGTGATGTATAGCTGGCTTGTTAAGATGAGTTAGCCAGTGATGTATGGCTGGCTGGCTTGTTAAGATGAGTTAGCCAGTGATGTATAGCTGGCTTGTTAAGATGAGTTAGCCAGTGATGTATAGCTGGCTGGCTTGTTAAGATGAGTTAGCCAGTGATGTATAGCTGGCTTGTTAAGATGAGTTAGCCAGTGATGTATAGCTGGCTTGTTAAGATGAGTTAGCCAGTGATGTATAGCTGGCTTGTTAAGATGAGTTAGCCAGTGATGTATGGCTGGCTGGCTTGTTAAGATGAGTTAGCCAGTGATGTATAGCTGGCTTGTTAAGATGAGTTAGCCAGTGATGTATGGCTGGCTGGCTTGTTAAGATGAGTTAGCCAGTGATGTATAGCTGGCTTGTTAAGTTGAGTTAGCCAGTGATGTATAGCTGGCTTGTTAAGATGTGTTAGCCAGTGATGTATGGCTGGCTTGTTAAGATGAGTTAGCCAGTGATGTATAGCTGCCTTGTTAAGTTGAGTTAGCCAGTGATGTATAGCTGGCTTGTTAAGATGAGTTAGCCAGTGATGTATAGCTGGCTTGTTAAGATGAGTTAGCCAGTGATGTATAGCTGGCTTGTTAAGATGTGTTAGCCAGTGATGTATGGCTGGCTTGTTAAGATGAGTTAGCCAGTGATGTATAGCTGGCTTGTTAAGTTGAGTTAGCCAGTGATGTATAGCTGGCTTGTTAAGATGAGTTAGCTGGTGATGTATAGCTGGCTTGTTAAGATGAGTTAGCCAGTGATGTATAGCTGGCTGGCTTGTTAAGATGAGTTAGCCAGTGATGTATAGCTGGCTTGTTAAGATGAGTTAGCCAGTGATGTATAGCTGGCTTGTTAAGATGAGTTAGCCAGTGATGTATAGCTGACTGGCTTGTTAAGATGAGTTAGCCAGTGATGTATAGCTGGCTGGCTTGTTAAGATGAGTTAGCCAGTGATGTATAGCTGGCTTGTTAAGATGAGTTAGCCAGTGATGTATAGCTGGCTTGTTAAGATGAGTTAGCCAGTGATGTATAGCTGGCTTGTTAAGATGAGTTAGCCAGTGATGTATAGCTGGCTTGTTAAGATAAGTTTAGCCAGTGATGTATAGCTGGCTTGTTAAGATGAGTTAGCCAGTGATGTATAGCTGTCTTGTTAAGATGAGTTAGCCAGTGATGTATAGCTGGCTTGTTAAGATGAGTTAGCCAGTGATGTATAGCTGTCTTGTTAAGATGAGTTAGCCAGTGATGTATAGCTGGCTTGTTAAGATGAGTTAGCCAGTGATGTATAGCTGACTGGCTTGTTAAGATGAGTTAGCCAGTGATGTATAGCTGACTGGCATGTTAAGATGAGTTAGCCAGTGATGTATAGCTGGCTGGCTTGTTAAGATGAGTTAGCCAGTGATGTATAGCTGACTGGCATGTTAAGATGAGTTAGCCAGTGATGTATAGCTGACTGGCTTGTTAAGATGAGTTAGCCAGTGATGTATAGCTGACTGGCATGTGAAGATGAGTTAGCCGGTGATGTATAGCTGGCTGACTTGTTAAGATGAGTTAGCCAGTGATGTATAGCTAGCTTGTTAAGATGAGTTAGCCAGTGATGTATAGCTGGCTGGCTTGTTAAGATGAGTTAGCCAGTGATGTATAGCTGGCTTGTTAAGATGAGTTAGCCAGTGATGTATAGCTGACTGGCTTGTTAAGATGAGTTAGCCAGTGATGTATAGCTGACTGGCTTGTTAAGATGAGTTAGCCAGTGATGTATAGCTGGCTGGCTTGTTAAGATGAGTTAGCCAGTGATGTATAGCTGGCTGGCTTGTTAAGATGAGTTAGCCAGTGATGTATAGCTGGCTTGTTAAGATGAGTTAGCCAGTGATGTATAGCTGACTGGCTTGTTAAGATGAGTTAGCCAGTGATGTATAGCTGACTGGCTTGTTAAGATGAGTTAGCCAGTGATGTATAGCTGACTGGCTTGTTAAGATGAGTTAGCCAGTGATGTATAGCTGGCTGGCTTGTTAAGATGAGTTAGCCAGTGATGTATAGCTGGCTTGTTAAGATGAGTTAGCCAGTGATGTATAGCTGGCTTGTTAAGATGAGTTAGCCAGTGATGTATAGCTGGCTTGTTAAGATGAGTTAGCCAGTGATGTATAGCTGGCTTGTTAAGATAAGTTTAGCCAGTGATGTATAGCTGGCTTGTTAAGATGAGTTAGCCAGTGATGTATAGCTGTCTTGTTAAGATGAGTTAGCCAGTGATGTATAGCTGGCTTGTTAAGATGAGTTAGCCAGTGATGTATAGCTGTCTTGTTAAGATGAGTTAGCCAGTGATGTATAGCTGGCTTGTTAAGATGAGTTAGCCAGTGATGTATAGCTGACTGGCTTGTTAAGATGAGTTAGCCAGTGATGTATAGCTGACTGGCATGTTAAGATGAGTTAGCCAGTGATGTATAGCTGGCTGGCTTGTTAAGATGAGTTAGCCAGTGATGTATAGCTGACTGGCATGTTAAGATGAGTTAGCCAGTGATGTATAGCTGACTGGCTTGTTAAGATGAGTTAGCCAGTGATGTATAGCTGACTGGCATGTGAAGATGAGTTAGCCGGTGATGTATAGCTGGCTGACTTGTTAAGATGAGTTAGCCAGTGATGTATAGCTAGCTTGTTAAGATGAGTTAGCCAGTGATGTATAGCTGGCTGGCTTGTTAAGATGAGTTAGCCAGTGATGTATAGCTGGCTTGTTAAGATGAGTTAGCCAGTGATGTATAGCTGACTGGCTTGTTAAGATGAGTTAGCCAGTGATGTATAGCTGACTGGCTTGTTAAGATGAGTTAGCCAGTGATGTATAGCTGACTGGCATGTTAAGATGAGTTAGCCAGTGATGTATAGCTGGCTGGCTTGTTAAGATAAGTTAGCCAGTGATGTATAGCTGGCTTGTTAAGATGAGTTAGCCAGTGATGTATAGCTGGCTGGCTTGTTAAGATGAGTTAGCCAGTGATGTATAGCTGGCTTGTTAAGATGAGTTAGCCAGTGATGTATAGCTGACTGGCTTGTTAAGATGAGTTAGCCAGTGATGTATAGCTGACTGGCTTGTTAAGATGAGTTAGCCAGTGATGTATAGCTGACTGGCATGTTAAGATGAGTTAGCCAGTGATGTATAGCTGGCTGGCTTGTTAAGATGAGTTAGCCAGTGATGTATAGCTGGCTTGTTAAGATGAGTTAGCCAGTGATGTATAGCTGGCTGGCTTGTTAAGATGAGTTAGCCAGTGATGTATAGCTGGCTTGTTAAGATGAGTTAGCCAGTGATGTATAGCTGGCTGGCTTGTTAAGATGAGTTAGCCAGTGATGTATAGCTGGCTTGTTAAGATGAGTTAGCCAGTGATGTATAGCTGGCTGGCTTGTTAAGATGAGTTAGCCAGTGATGTATAGCTGGCTTGTTAAGATGAGTTAGCCAGTGATGTATAGCTGGCTTGTTAAGATGAGTTAGCCAGTGATGTATAGCTGACTGGCTTGTTAAGATGAGTTAGCCAGTGATGTATAGCTGACTGGCTTGTTAAGATGAGTTAGCCAGTGATGTATAGCTGGCTGGCTTGTTAAGATGAGTTAGCCAGTGATGTATAGCTGGCTTGTTAAGATGAGTTAGCCAGTGATGTATAGCTGGCTGGCTTGTTAAGATGAGTTAGCCAGTGATGTATAGCTGGCTTGTTAAGATGAGTTAGCCAGTGATGTATAGCTGGCTGGCTTGTTAAGATGAGTTAGCCAGTGATGTATAGCTGGCTTGTTAAGATGAGTTAGCCAGTGATGTATAGCTGGCTGGCTTGTTAAGATGAGTTAGCCAGTGATGTATAGCTGGCTGGCATGTTAAGATGAGTTAGCCAGTGATGTATAGCTGGCTGGCTTGTTAAGATGAGTTAGCCAGTGATGTATAGCTGACTGGCATGTTAAGATGAGTTAGCCAGTGATGTATAGCTGACTGGCTTGTTAAGATGAGTTAGCCAGTGATGTATAGCTGACTGGCATGTTAAGATGAGTTAGCCGGTGATGTATAGCTGGCTGACTTGTTAAGATGAGTTAGCCAGTGATGTATAGCTAGCTTGTTAAGATGAGTTAGCCAGTGATGTATAGCTGGCTGGCTTGTTAAGATGAGTTAGCCAGTGATGTATAGCTGGCTTGTTAAGATGAGTTAGCCAGTGATGTATAGCTGACTGGCTTGTTAAGATGAGTTAGCCAGTGATGTATAGCTGACTGGCTTGTTAAGATGAGTTAGCCAGTGATGTATAGCTGACTGGCATGTTAAGATGAGTTAGCCAGTGATGTATAGCTGGCTGGCTTGTTAAGATAAGTTAGCCAGTGATGTATAGCTGGCTTGTTAAGATGAGTTAGCCAGTGATGTATAGCTGGCTGGCTTGTTAAGATGAGTTAGCCAGTGATGTATAGCTGGCTTGTTAAGATGAGTTAGCCAGTGATGTATAGCTGACTGGCTTGTTAAGATGAGTTAGCCAGTGATGTATAGCTGACTGGCTTGTTAAGATGAGTTAGCCAGTGATGTATAGCTGACTGGCATGTTAAGATGAGTTAGCCAGTGATGTATAGCTGGCTGGCTTGTTAAGATGAGTTAGCCAGTGATGTATAGCTGGCTTGTTAAGATGAGTTAGCCAGTGATGTATAGCTGGCTGGCTTGTTAAGATGAGTTAGCCAGTGATGTATAGCTGGCTTGTTAAGATGAGTTAGCCAGTGATGTATAGCTGGCTGGCTTGTTAAGATGAGTTAGCCAGTGATGTATAGCTGGCTTGTTAAGATGAGTTAGCCAGTGATGTATAGCTGGCTGGCTTGTTAAGATGAGTTAGCCAGTGATGTATAGCTGGCTTGTTAAGATGAGTTAGCCAGTGATGTATAGCTGGCTTGTTAAGATGAGTTAGCCAGTGATGTATAGCTGACTGGCTTGTTAAGATGAGTTAGCCAGTGATGTATAGCTGACTGGCTTGTTAAGATGAGTTAGCCAGTGATGTATAGCTGGCTGGCTTGTTAAGATGAGTTAGCCAGTGATGTATAGCTGGCTTGTTAAGATGAGTTAGCCAGTGATGTATAGCTGGCTGGCTTGTTAAGATGAGTTAGCCAGTGATGTATAGCTGGCTTGTTAAGATGAGTTAGCCAGTGATGTATAGCTGGCTGGCTTGTTAAGATGAGTTAGCCAGTGATGTATAGCTGGCTTGTTAAGATGAGTTAGCCAGTGATGTATAGCTGGCTGGCTTGTTAAGATGAGTTAGCCAGTGATGTATAGCTGGCTGGCATGTTAAGATGAGTTAGCCAGTGATGTATAGCTGGCTGGCTTGTTAAGATGAGTTAGCCAGTGATGTTAAGATAAGTCATAAGTTTAGTCCAGCTGAAATGTTGTACTTGACCACAGACCAACATGCCTGTCCATTCTCCTGTTGATGGTGTTATTGAGGAGCTGATTGTCAAAGATGGCGACAAGGTCACACCTGGCCTGACCTTGGTCAAGATTCGAGTTGGAGGTTAGAGTTGATGTTGACTTTACTGTGATTGTTGTACTTGACTTCAAAAATTTCTTTGACTTAACCATGATTGTTGTACTTGACTTCAAAAATTTCTTTGACTTAACGGTGATTGTGTACCTGACTCCCTACAACAATTGACTTAACCGTAATTGTTGTACCTGACTCCCTTCAACAATTGACTTAACTGTGTTTGTTGTACCTGACTCCCTCCAATAATTGACTTAACCGTGATTGTTGTACCTGACTCCCTTCAACAATTGACTTAAACGTGATTGTTGTACTTGACTCCATTTCAACAATTTTTTTCACATACAGCAGGGGGGGCAACAGCTGTGAAAAAAGAGTCTGTGGCGCCACCTCCTACCGTAGAAACATCCAAACCGCCTCCATCATCATCAGGACCCATACCTGACAAGGCCCCGCCTGTGCCCCCACCCCCCAGCCAGCCCATCTCCTCCACCCCCAAGACAGCCGTCAAGCCTAAAGCTGCTCAGGCTCCTGCTGTGGGTGCTGCTCCCCTGGGTATATCAGGCAGTCGCTCAGAACAGAGGGTGAGTGGCTTGTTCCATGTATTACTGGCACCTTACACCTCCCCCTCAGAACAGAGGGTGAGTGGCTTGTTCCATGTATTACTGGCACCTTACACCTCCCCTTAGAACAGAGGGTGAGTGGCTTGTTTCATGTATTACTGGCACCTTACACCTCCCCCTCAGAACAGAGGGTGAGTGGCTTGTTCCATGTATTACTGGCACCTTACACCTCCCCTCAGAACAGAGGGTGAGTGGCTTGTCCATGTATTACTGGCACCTTACACCCCCCACCCCCTCCATTAAGACATTAGATACAGCTTGTGATTTTGTTTTGACCTGTGCAGGTGAAAATGAACAGGATGCGTCAAAGAATTGGTCAGCGCCTGAAAGAAGCTCAGAACACATGTGCCATGTTAACAACTTTCAATGAGATAGATATGAGGTAAAGCCTTGTCTAACACATGTATAGTGACACAGTTGAATGAAACATGCTATGTGGTGTACAATGTTTGCTGTTGATCTGTTCCAGTAATGTGATGTGTAGTGACACAGTTGAATGAAACATGCTATGTGGTGTACAATGTTTGCTGTTGTCTAACATATGTGTAGTGACACAGTTGAATGAAACTTGCTATGTGGTGTACAATGTTTGCTGTTGATCTGTTCCAGTAATGTGATGGAGATGAGGAACAAATACAAGGACGCCTTCCAGAAGAAATACAACCTCAAGTTGGGCTTTATGTCAGCTTTTGTTAAAGCTGCGGCCTTTGCCTTGGCTGACCAGCCAGTGGTCAATGCTGTCATTGATGACCTGGAGATTGTCTACAGGGACTATGTGGACATCAGTGTGGCTGTTGCCACTCCCAAGGTCAGTCTCTTCTACATCCTGGAGTACAGCACTGGGCTGTTTGCTGTATCACCCACATCTTTTTTACATCAGAATAAAACATTGCTATACCCACAACTTTTTAAGAAAATATGTTGCTATACCCACATTCTTTTCATTAAGATATATCGTTGCTTTACCCACAACTTTTTTCAATAAAACATTGCCACACCAACAACTATTTTAGATTAAAATAAAACATTTTTTGTTCTGCCAGGGTCTGGTGGTACCAGTGATCAGAAATGTGGAGAAGATGAATTATGCTGATATTGAGAAGACCATCGCTGACCTTGGTGAGAGGGTAAGCTTGATTTAATTCACCTTAGCTTTGTTTGAAATCATGTCATGTGTGACACCTGTAACGTCATGTGTGACATCTGTAACATCATGTGTGACATCTGTAATGTCATGTGTGACATCTGTCATGTCATGTGTGACATCTGTCATGTCATGTGTGACACCTGTAATGTCATGTGTGACACCTGTAATGTCATGTGTGACATCTGTAATGTCATGTGTGACACCTGTAATGTCATGTGTGACACCTGTAATGTCATGTGTGACATCTGTAATGTCATGTGTGACACCTGTCATGTCATGTGTGACACCTGTCATGTCATGTGTGACATCTGTAATGTCATGGGTGACACCTGTAATGTCATGTGTGACATCTGTCATGTCATGTGTGACACCTGTAATGTCATGTGTGACACCTGTAATGTCATTTGTGACACCTGTAATGTCATGTGTGACACCTTTAATGTCATGTGTGACACCTGTAATGTCATGTGTGACACCTGTAATGTCATGTGTGCCATCTGTGACAACATGACATGACAATGTAAAATACACCTTCCTTACGTCTCCTCCAGGCCCGAGCTGGAACCCTGGCCATTGAGGACATGGATGGTGGAACCTTTACCATCAGCAATGGGGGAGTGTTTGGCTCCATGTTTGGCACCCCCATCATCAACCCCCCACAGTCTGCTATCCTGGGCATGCACGGCATCTTTGATAGACCTGTCGCCATCAATGGGAAGGTTGGTCTACGCATCAGAGCTTCCTGTCAGCATTGTATTCTTCTCTGTCTGTTTGTATTCCATTGTCACGTCACCACCTCTAATATTGTCATGTCACCACCTCTGTAAGTTGTCTCACCACCTCTAATATTGTCATGTCACCACCTCTAATATTGTCATGTCACCACCTCTAATATTGTCACGTCACCACCTCTAATATTGTCATGTCACCACCTCTGTAAGTTGTCTCACCACCTCTAATATTGTCATGTCACCACCTCTAATATTGTCACGTCACCACCTCTAATATTGTCACATCACCACCTCTAATATTGTCATGTCACCACCTCTGTAAGTTGTCTCACCACCTCTAATATTGTCATGTCACCACCTCTAATATTGTCACGTCACCACCTCTAATATTGTCACATCACCACCTCTAATATTGTCATGTCACCACCTCTGTAAGTTGTCTCACCACCTCTAATATTGTCATGTCACCACCTCTAATATTGTCACGTCACCACCTCTAATATTGTCATGTCACCACCTCTAATATTGTCATGTCACCACCTCTAATATTGTCACATCACCACCTCTATCATTGTCACGTCACCACCTCTGTAAGTTGTCTCATCACCTCTAATATTGTCCCATTATGTTGACCACCCACCTGCAGGTAGAAATTCGGCCCATGATGTATGTAGCTTTAACCTATGACCACAAACTGATAGATGGGCGCGAGGCTGTGACGTTCCTGCGTAAAATCAAGTCAGCCGTAGAGGACCCCAGGACAATCTTGCTGGACTTGTAACCCCAGCTTAGGACCTAGCTTAATCTTTTAATCCGGAGGAGCTCGTGGCATAACAAAATCATGAGGAGTTTCTTGTCTGAAACCTTCTATCTCATGGAATTAGGCGAAATTGTTCCAGTGTTTGTAAGCCCTGCTTTGATTGGTTGGTGGTGCTTGAGTCACGTGATTTAGCCAGATCTGATTCTTGTATTGAAGTTAGTTGCATCAGTTATGTAGTTGTCTTGTTATGGTCCACGTGATTCTGGTCCAATGAGCGCCTGCTGATGTGTATGTTTGAATCTAGCGTGTGATGTGAATGGTGCTTGCATGGAAGCAGTGTGTAGCCATGACTGGGTACTTAAAGATACTGAACATCTCTAGACTTGTGCCTGTGATTTTAGAGAGTTTCAACCTGCAATGTATTTATGGAGAGGTTTCTTTAGTTTATTGATAAGACAAACATCAATAAACTATTCAATTTTTACAAGCTTTTATTTAACTCACTTCCTCTGTCTGTCGTCAGTCTGTCTAGACGGAAACGCAGGAGTGAAAATTCGGACAGTTCTACTTGACCGATACGATTCACAGTTGGCACGTGGGTCAAGACATGAAGACAATGCAATCTGAAACTAAATTTGACTTAATTGGATGCCTAATTAATTTTTTATGAATTAATAAAAATTTGGACCGAATTAGTAGGCATGTCTAGCCAACCACACCACACGCGTCATCACCTTCAATAGCTGCGCCATCACGTAATGGCTGCGTTCAAAAACCATTGCGCGCCTACTGAACGTGATGTTCAGTAGGCGCGCAATGGTTTTTAGTCATGTAACTCTATTGTAAATAAAACATGTAAAGTACTGAAAAAAAATTCATAAAAAACGTTTTAATAACAAGCTTTTATGTAACGATGCACTAAAAAGTAGAAAATAAATTATAGACTACTATTTAAATAACTATAAAGAAAAGCGTGGGTGTCTTCCTTAACATTAGTAAAGGTATCCAATAGATACTAAAGTGACCCACGCTTTTCTTTATAGTTATTTAAATAGTAGTCTATAATTTATTTTCTACTTTTTAGTGCATCGTTACATAAAAGCTTGTTATTAAAACGTTTTTTATGAATTTTTTTTTTTACTGTCTTTTTTTTTTCTTGAGTCTTGGTCCTGTTGTGTCTCGGTCTTGTTGTGTCTGGGTCCTGTATTAGTTGTGCCAGGTACCAGATTGTTTCCCTGGGGTAGATGACGTGAAGCCGACTAGAGACTAAGACTTGATTTCATCACCATAGGGAAAACGTCCTGTTCTACCCTATCCTTGTGCCTTACATTGTACGAGTGGGTGTGTGGAGGTGGACCTGGGCACGTACAAAGGAAAACATTTAACCAGAGTGGTCAAGTTCTACCCTATCCTTGTGGTTACACTGTACGAGTGTGTGTGTCGAGGGGGACCTGGGCACGTACAAAGGAAAACATTTGACCACGCTGATCACAGCGGGAGTTAAATAACGTCACTAACCTGTCTGGTCGTGGACAAAGCCTGGGGTCATATAGCCACGTGACAGCTAGAGTCACACACCCCACTCCACCTGCCGCCCACCATAAAACCCCCAGCACGCGACAATCACCTCATCTGACCAGCGAGTGGCCTGTGGTCAGTTGACCCCCCACTCGCGTGCCGTGTTTTATGTCACCCCACCCTGCTCGCACTTTGCCGGTCGGGGATCTTACGTCACGGCGGGCAGCTGCCGGTCAGAAGGTGGCAACATGGCGGAACATTAAGTCATGACGTAAGCAGCCGGAGACGTCACCAACGGTTCAACAGTCTTTAAGTAAGTTTCAAGTGAGTTTATTAGTGACACAATAAACAGTCCTCAGAGGAATGATTTGGGGTGTAGTCTGCCATTGTAGTCTGCTGCTGTGGGTCTGGTGACTCGCTACAGATGTGATAGTTTTGGACTGAATATCTTTATAAGAGACTGTAGCGGTCAGCCACGGTCAATCATAGTTAGATTATTTACTCGACTGTCTACATGGCTTTCCTCACTCTTTCTGTCATCGTCAAAGTCGTTTATCGAACTAGATTCATCTATCGAACTCAACCGTTAGATTCGTCTATCGAACTAGATTCATCTATCGAACTCAACCGTTAGATTCGTCTATCGAACTAGATTCATCTATCGAACTCAACCGTTAGATTCGTCTATCGAACTAGATTCATCTATCGAACTCAACCGTTAGATTCGTCTATCGAACTAGATTCATCTATCGAACTCAACCGTTAGATTCGTCTATCGAACTAGATTCATCTATCGAACTCAACCGTTAGATTCGTTTATCGAACTTATCGAGATGTACCTCACTCTCTACTTTAGAAATTACCAACCAAATCAGGATTTTAAAAATGTATTTGGCAAACAGAAGTACGGATAATTTGACGGCAGTAAAAAAAAAGATGCAATTAGCATAAAACATTTGATTAAAATGTCAAATAATCAACGCTGCATGATTAGGTTGTTGTTTTACTTTTTTGTTACTTTTTTTTTGGTTACTTTTTTACAACCAACTTGAGTCGCCACCACCAAACACATGAATAGCTCAAGCACTTCCGTTAATGAGAGCATCAATAATTCACCGTCAATTAATATCTGCTGTACGAGTTTGCCTTTATCTTAGTCACGGTGGGCTTGCTCTAACAGCCTCGCCCACCAGATGAAAGACGACGACAAAGATAATGTGTGACGATGTTAATTTAAGCCCAAGCGGAAAGTGTCTGTGCCACTGTTGTTAGGGCCGCCGACAAAAGGGTGCCGGGTTGTCCTACAGTTAACTCATCTGATTAATTCATGCGAGGCCCGGGCCAGCTTTGGCGAGGCTCGCTGGAGGGCCTGAGACAAAAGACTTGCAAACATCAAACTTTAATCTAGTCCGAATCTGGGGGGCGCTGCACGGTGCACCTGGACGGGACAGGTAATTACTCGCCGGCAATACCTCACCATGATTGAGTCACCTTCGTTGGAGGAGATCGTTACTCCACCTGCATATGGCCCTCGGTGTGGGGGGTTACGCTTTCATATGGGGTGTGGTGGGGATTAATATGACATACCAGGGGATTTACTTAATAACTTTGTGGAGGTAGGGGGTGTTTTCATATCGGGAGGGATTGGGGGGGGGGGCGGGGGGGTAACAACCAACTAGTTAAAATTGTAAGACCTGCCGGGAGATTTATTCACTGACATTTTCTTCTTTGACCGTGTGGGATACATTTATGTGCTCCTGAGTGTCTAGTCAGTGGTAGCGAGTGTCTAGTCAGAGGTGGTGAGTGTCTAGTCAGAGGTGGTGAGTGTCTAGTCAGAGGTGGTGAGTGTCTAGTCAGAGGTATCGAATGTCTAGTCAGAGGTGGCGAGTGTCTAGTCAGAGGTGGCGAGTGTCTAGTCAGAGGTGGCGAGTGTCTAGTCAGAGGTGGCAAGTGTCTAGTCAGAGGTGGTGTCTAGTCAGAGGTGGTGAGTGTCTAGTCAGAGGTGGCGAGTGTCTAGTCAGAGGTGGTGTCTAGTCAGAGGTGGTGTCTAGTCAGAGGTGGTGAGTGTCTAGTCAGAGGTGGTGTCTAGTCAGAGGTGGTCTAGTCAGAGGTGGTGTCTAGTCAGAGGTGGTGTCTAGTCAGAGGTGGCGAGTGTCTAGTCAGAGGTGGCGAGTGTCTAGTCAGAGGTGGCGAGTGTCTAGTCAGAGGTGGCGAGTGTCTAGTCAGAGGTGGTGTCTAGTCAGAGGTGGTGAGTGTCTAGTCAGAGGTGGCGAGTGTCTAGTCAGAGGTGGCGAGTGTCTAGTCAGAGGTGGTGAGTGTCTAGTCATGGCGAGTGTCTAGTCAGAGGTGGTGAGTGTCTAGTCAGAGGTGGTGAGTGTCTAGTCAGAGGTATCGAATGTCTAGTCAGAGGTGGCGAGTGTCTAGTCAGAGGTGGCAAGTGTCTAGTCAGAGGTGGTGTCTAGTCAAAGGTGGTGTCTAGTCAGAGGTGGTGAGTGTCTAGTCAGAGGTGGCGAGTGTCTAGTCAAAGGTGGTGTCTAGTCAGAGGTGGTGAGTGTCTAGTCAGATGTGGCGAGTGTCTAGTCAGAGGTGGTGAGTGTCTAGTCAGAGGTGCTGTCTAGTCAGAGGTGTTGTCTAGTCAGAGGTGGTGTCTAGTCAGAGGTCGCGACTGTCTAGTCGTCGTGTCTGTCTGTCGTGTTACTGTACCAGCACATGATCCTATCAAGGACATTCCCCAGTCGTCATAGCATCGAACAAGTGGAGCCGAGTTGGTTTCAGACATGTTAGCACCAGACATGTTAGCACCGGGTGCCTGCGATAGTTTTAGACATGTTAGCACCGGGTGCCTGCGATAGTTTAAGACATGTTAGCACCAGGAGCCTGCGACAGATGGCTCCCAGCGGGGCGCCTTGGACCCAGCCAAGTGCGACTCGCCCATTCATCCGACGGTGCGGTATCTCTAGACGGCAGCCTGGCCGAGTGCAAGATGTCGGGGGGGGGGGGGGGGACTCAACAGCTAACGCCCCTTGTTGCCGCTTTTGTTTTTTTCATCGCCCGCAAAGTGGGGACGTCTGAAACTGAAACCAATTAGACAAATTTTTAATTCAGGGGAGCTATCGATACAAAGTGGGTGGGGCTGTTGTAGGTTGATCAAGTTGGGAGGAGGGGGGGGGGGGGGAAGAGATGTCCTGCCATCCGACATCTTCAACAGCGGACATTTTGACCTGTGGACATTTTGACCTGTGGACATTTTGACCTGTGGACATTTTGACCTGTGGACATTTTGACCTGTAGATATTTCGTTCAGTGGAAAATCCGTGCAGTGGACATTTTGACTTGTTTCAGTCAAATGTTATTTAATTAATTCAATCAAAGTTCCATTTTAATATTTCTAAACGGAAATAAAAACTAAAGATGTTTTATTTGGAGCAACATTAGATGACTGTTTAAATAAACCTAAAGGAACCAGTTATACAATATAAAAAATAGTTGTGCAGTATAAAAGCTGGTTGGACAACATAAACTGGTTAAACAACATAAAAACGGTTAGAGAAATACAAACTGGTTATACAACATAAAAACCGTTTAGACAACATAAAAACCGGGAGGACACCAAAAACCGGTTAGATGACATAACCACCGGTTAAACAGACAAAGAACCGATGGCCAGCAGAAGAGAAAAAAAGCCGGGACAGACGGACGTAATGTAAAGATCGGGTTTGATAACAGACCCAGCTTATGCCGGCAGTTGTGCGCATGCGTGGCTGGGGACCGAGACCACACGCATGGATTAGACAGAACTCAATGGAGATTTGATCGTCTCCCTTTCAACCCTTGATCGTCGCTTACGTCTGCTGTCCACTGCCTGACCGCTCTAATCGTCGTCACGTGATCGCCGGTCAGCGGTTTGTCATCACTTGCCTGACGTCACGACAATGCTGGACTCAAGCCCGTGTGTAATTACGGCC